CTATTGCACAATACTTATCATATAATAATTTACACATCGTGTTTGGTGTGTATCTCCTACCATATCATTATTATTTGCTTTTAAATATAAATCAGAAATAACCAACTTAAAATGGAAAATTTTACAAGAAAGAAAAAAGGAAAAAAAAAAAATCCCCCCCCCCCTAATTTTTTTAACCCCCTTATGATTCATCACCCCCAAACTCAATCCCAGCCTTCACTTTGTGGTATGGTACCTTGCAGTACAATTTCAGAGAGATCCATACACTTGAACACAAGTTATTGTCTGGAAACTAGAAAAATGCTTGTTTTTTGCCCCTTTTTTGGACCCTAATTCCTAATATTTTGAGGCAATTACCCCCAAAATCAATCCAAGCATTCCCTGTGTGATATGGAACCTTGTGGTACAATGTCAGAGAGATCCATACACTAACACACAAGTTATGTCTGGAAGTTACAAAAATGCTTATTTTTGGCCCCTTTTTGGCCCCTAATTCCTTAACTGTTGGTACCATAACCCCCAAAATCAATCCCCACCTTCCTTTTGTGGTATTGAACCTTATGGTAAAATTTCATAGAGATCCATTTACTTAAACTAAAGTTAGAGTGCGAAAACCAATATGTCTTCGGACAACGCCGGACGACGACGTCAACGTCATACCAATATACGACCGCAAAATTTTTTGCGGTCGTATAAAAATTGCTGAATTTTTCGTTTCCATTCTTTTTATTTAGTTTGCCTCAACCAAATGTTATGAAACTTATGCGCAATGCTTATTACCGCAAAACACAGATCAAGTTTGAATTTTGGTGGCGTCACTTTTACTGTTCTAGAGTGATGCCCCTTTACAAATGGAAAAATTGCTGAATTTTTCGTTTCCGTTCTCTAACTTAAGTTTACCTCAACCAAATGTTATGAAACTTGTACACAATGCTTATTACCACAAAACTCAGATCAAGTACAAATTTGGGTAGCGTCACTTTTTTGAGTTATGTCCCTTTATAAAGGTATATGCAAGCAGGGGCATCATCTGTGTCCCATGGAAACATTCCCCATTTATTTTTACATACACACTGAGCACGGAATTTTCATCAATGCCTATTTACTAGTGGGGAATGCTTTGCATGGCAGCACCTGCAACTCCTTGATTTGAAAAGCCTCAAAAGGAAATATAACATTGGTTAATATAATTGAGCATTTGGGTTTTTTGGACTTCCCCATTTGAATTTACTTTGGAGTTCAGTATTTTTGTTATTAGTTTTAATGGATCACAGATCTCATTAGCAATTATACCACAAGATATATGATAACAAATTATGGTATCCAAAAGATTTGTTAATAAATAGGTTAATGAAACAATAGACAATAAAAGCACTGATACTTTGCATTGGATTTTGTTAAGATCATGGAGGGATTTCGCTTCTTTTCATATCCCACTGGGTGATGTATGGTTAACACCCTCTATGTGCGTTTACTCTTTAATTAACTTTTAAATTATTCCATTTCTTTTTGTGTTAAGGAATAACATATAGGATTGAAAGAATATGAAATCTCAGCTGAAAAAAAACAACAAATTAATGCATCATTATTAGCATTTTCCTTCAATTTATATGTGTTATAAGATTAAGATGCTGATACTATTATGTCTGTAACACACCTGGATCAGATCAAAGACATTCATGTAGGTAAATAAAATAACATTATGTTTGGCATCAAATAGTTACCATCAAAACATGTAATTGTTTCTTGTCAGTCATGTCTGGGACAGTTCATACAAACCAGATAGAAAAGGATTTGATGCTGGGAATCTTTAATATCATTCCAGAATATAATGAAATAATTCATCACTATTCATTGCAGATAATGAATGATTACAACACATTTTGATCATACTATTTATTGATTGATGCTTGATTAACTTCTGCAAATAATACTTGCATATTCAAAACAAAATCATGTTAGATTGATAGATGTATAAGAATGGAGCACTGAGAGTAAAATTAAGACTGACAATAGGCCATCTATATGGCTCCTTCAAAAAGAGTTGTTAGTCTTCAGCACCCAAACATTATGTGACACTCCCCCAAATGTGAATTTGTGAGTTCAAACTATATGAAGCTTAGGAAATACTTAATCATGTTCTATGAACATATTATCATATTTTTATCAATTTACACTTCAAATATTTTACAAAGGACATGATCATCAAGTTCATGTGGTAGTATAAATATCTCAGATGTCTTAAAGCATTAATGAATCTCCTATGACAAATTTTAAATGCATACTGTTTTAATAAAACATTGAAAGCATGTTTTGTGAAAAATATAGGAGGGAAATACTGCTCCATTAGATTAGGTGTGTCAGTATCAGAATTGAATTTATATTTATAAATATATCTTTTCTCATTGTTCTGTTCTTTGTATTCTTAACTTTATTATGTGACTCTTATACACTTTTCATGATTTCAGATTCTTGATATTTCTTGTGTTAGTGATCTTCTAGATGATGCCTGGTTTACCAATCATGTTTAGTTTATTATCAAAGGTTCAAAATTACAACATATCTCTATAATCAATGTTTAGAATGCTTGCACAAACAAAATGAGAACTGTGAAACTGTGCTTCTGTTAATAACTTGGCTGTAATTCAAATAAATATAAAAAAAATCAAATGGTTAGAGCTGTCGGAATCATCAAAATGTTGAGAATAAAATGGCAGTTTCTTTTGCTTAAGTTCTCCTGTTGAAAATATGGGAAAAGTCACTTTTAACTGTATTATGTTCAATTAAATACAACCACTTTATATTTTTATGTTAAAAAATGAAAAGATAATTGGTACAAATATATTCCATTTAAAACAATTATATATGATAAGAATAAGAAAAAGGTTACAACATTATGTTCATATAAAAAATCATGAAAGAAAATTATTTTGAAAAAGTTTGCAATTTGATAGTTGTCTTTAAATCGATAGATCTGTAGAATTATTTGGAGATTTTTTGGATGAGATAATGATCTTTATTAGATATATTTTTATTATTAGAGTGTTCACTAAGAAACTTATGCCAGAAAAAACACATGTTCATCTTCATTAGATAATTACCAGAGGAAACAGGCCATGCTCAGCTAAATTGTCTACAGGATAAATATTTGATTCATAAATTGATGGAAAATACTTGCTTCATATGTAAAGTTGTGGTGATGTACAATTTATTTCAATTGTCAAATACACTGAAATAATCTAACTTTCTGTAAAAAAAAACCTACAACATTCTGTACATTTGCATTTTTGAAATATACATAAGTACAATAGAAGGCTTGTAGTTTTGAATGATCATGCACAACGATGAGTACTACAGTAACATTCAAAGGAATATTTACCCTTTCTATAAAAACATCACAATTTTATATGATTGAATCTGTACTAAATTACCTTTGTACATGTACAAAAAAGTAACAATATTTGTAACATACCATTTCTGATTTATATTAAACAATGTGCAAGAATGTAAACAAAACATTAATGGTAGACAAAAAGATATGTACACATATAAGAATATAGTTTGTATGTATTACAAACCTTTACACGATTTTGATCAAGAAATAACAGCTAAATGGATGCTGTAACCTAGTTTCAAGGTTCATCATCATGATTTTCCACATAGCTAGCATTATACAGATTACACAACTTGGTCAGTTTGGTCAAATATTGTACACCAGGAACCAATTCTACCACACAATACCCTGTTGATTAAGACACTGGTAAATTTTCAAAATTTTTAATTTGAAATTTGCCATATTTACCAGACTGGTCAGAACTTGTTTAAATCACTACTAATTAGGGATACCAGTATATAGATTTAGTTGACTGTGAACTTAAGAAGACCAAAATGTTGACATTAGGTATCTGCCAGGTTAACCAATGAATACTCTTGTTTTGTCATATCAACCATTATGTCGCTTACAGTTAATCATGTCAGTGCACAGGGTATAAATACATACAGCATTTCAGATATGATCAAATATGGAGTGTTATTTGCTAAATAGGAATGCACTAATTATTGTATTTATTAAAAAGTCAATAAGTCAAGTGCTATAATATGGAAGCTTTTGTTCCTTGATGCATTATTTCACTGCCATTGTATTTTACAGAAAAAAACAATTGAAGCAGAGTAAATATTTTGTACATGACATAAGTAAAATTCCACCATTTAAGTAGGACAAATCTCCATGTACGTGACTGAAAATGGGGTAAAATATATGTCAAACATTTACCAAACTTGGCATGAGAATACCCCCATAGAAAGAACAAGGCCCCTGTAGATTTTTTTTTAATAGTAGGTCAAAGGTTAAAGTAACTATACCTATTTTCCATCAATTTACCATAAAATTGCCAAAACCAAAAAAATAAGTACCCAAATAAAAAATCTGTTTCTTCTTCTTTTAACCAATAAAGACCACAAATGTGTTTATGCACCAATGGTGCTTCTAGAGTTTTTACAGTGGATTTCCCAATTTTTGGTGCCACGGTGTGTAACTCTGGTAAGTATCTAGAGAACTTTTGTAGTAATGAACAGTATGTGTTGTCTGTGATGGCTACAGTATGTCAACACTTTATCTATACCTACCAATATGTGTAAATTGACATACTGTATAATAATATTATCAAGCATCAGGATACCTTTAGATTAAAATGACTATTTTTCAACTGTTGTTTTTGCAATAATTGAAGATAGATTAGGACAATTATATGCAATGTTGCCATGGTTAAGATATTCACTTCATTTAAAAAAAAATTTAAGTTTCAAATGAAAATAAGATATTTCCACTTAGGAACCAAAAATAATCATTAAAGTAGGTATGTATCACACTGCAATAGGATAAAAATAAGTAAGTAGTTTTAGATATTTTGATATATTTATAATAATCTCTTGATATAACAAAGGAAGTTTGTTCAATAGAATACAGATAAACTTTATTATTTAAACATTTTTATTTGCAGGGGTGTGATTAATTTACACAACAAGACATATGTTATACAGCCCTTACTTGGTGGAGATGAAGGGGTAAGCCATGATTAGAAATTATAAGGACTGTATTTATCAACTTGTAAAAATTACGATACTTTTTTTACATTTCATGAAATGCTGAATATTGCAAAGCATGCATAAAACCATTTATTATCATTTAGGAGAGTAATCATTTAGATTTTTGTTAAGAAAATCACAAGTAGAACAATTTAACTCATTCTTTGGTCTTTGGTGGATAACAAATTATCTCCTTATTGTTAAGCATTTATCACTTAGTGGCCAGGGCATATAGCCTTTCTCATGTCCTTCATTTTGTCATTCTGTCCTTTGAAATGCCACAGATAAGGAATTTGGTTGGTCATTTCTGTAGATATTGATCTGGGCTGATAATGCGTAAAACCACTTAAGTTAAAATATCCACTTGTAGTACTAATTTATCATCGGACATGTAGAAAAATCTGTCCGCTGGGAACAAATCTATCAGCCCTGATTTTTAAGTTCATCAGTGTACAATGATGAGTTACAGATCAAGTTTGCTGTCATTCCAGAAGACATACTTATCAGGGAATTGGGAACAATGCACTTGGCCAAAATAATAAAAAGGGGCCTGCCCAACACATCAATTTAAAAAATATAAGTTCTAATATAATCTGACTAGGCTAGACTATTACATTTGTATATGCAAATTATATAATTACAAGTTGAAAAGTTTTTGTCAACTAGCAGTTATTCATAAACAACAACAAATTAGAGTATGTATATAAATCACCTGTTATTTATAAGGATAGGAAGTTAACCAGAGAAACTGTTGCAGAAAGAAGACAACCTTGAACAGTCCCCTGTGACCAGAAAGTAACTGAAAAGTTGCAGAACTGCAGTTATTTGTAGCAACCATTGATGGGAAGGTCAGCAAATTGAAATCCAAAGGGAAAAATATGATTAAACAAGGAATTATTTGAATCTAGAATAATTTTGATTTTTGGAAAATTACTAAGAAATTTATGTTGAAAACTAACCCAACTAAAGGTTCAAATACTTTCACTGACATTTCAGTATGAACTAACTAAACCCCCTTAGCCATGCATGCATGGCTAACCCTCCTTAATTGGGTTAGTTTTCATCATACATTTCATATCAATTTTTCAGAATTCAAAATTATTCCAGATTCAAATAATTCCTTGTTTTAACACAATAACCCTAAATGGACCAAGACGAAATCTTTTAATACCAATTTGATTTTCCATAAACACCTGCTTTAGAAATATAAAATACATAGTTTTCATTACATTTTATTGAAATTTTGTGTATTTAATTTGAATATTACTCTTACAGATACATCATCCACATGTTGTTTTCAAAGCCTCCACTTCCAAAACAGAGACATGTGGTGAGTACAGTTCAGGGTCTTGTTTTCTTGTGAATGTTTAGGTCTTGTATGTGATTCTTTTAGTTTTAGTTGAGTTTACTTGATTCAAGGCTTTCATCTGTTAAACAAAGAACAGAAATGTATTAAGGGGAAACTAGCTTGACTGCAAAGATACATGATCAAGCTATCAGAACCACCTTGGTGGTCATGTTGGTACAGTGTGATTGTGATGGATGAGGTTGTGGGTTTGATCTGCTGATAAATCAAACCTGTGACTTTAAAACTGGCATTTGCTGCTTGGTATTTACTGCTTCTCTGCCAAGCATGCTTAGAGCAAACATTAGTTGTCTTGGAGGAAGGGTTTGACTAAGAGTATATGTTTCCTTGTGGACTGTTACCTTGAGATGTAATTGCCTTTCAAAATTGGACTCAGCTTGTTGGTCTTGTACTAGATAGGAATATTCATGTCTAGTTTAAAACAACTGATCATCTTCAGTTCAATGTAATATTTTCTCCTTGTTTTAAGCAACCATCAGTCAATCAATCAAACTATTATAATTATCAATAAAAAAGAGTAAGAGAATTTTAAAACAATGAAACAAAACATTGTATCTTAAATTTATAAATGGTAAAGTAATCAAAATAATATAATGGAATGGAAGGAGTTAGTGAGACAGCAACCCAATGACACAAACATGTATAGAACATCTAGGTGTCAATACTCAGTTTTATAATTGACAGGTGTCCATATAGCTTAGTCAAGCTGTAAAGCACACCAAGTCTATAAAAGATGTAAATAAATATCAAAAGCTCTGCCATTATTCCAAATTTCCAAAATGAAAAAATAATAGTTAGATACAACAAAAGACAACCACTAAAAGGTTTCTGATAATTAAAGTATTTCCCTTTCAATCATGAAAACAAAAGGTACATTAAGTTGTGTATGATTTGATACCATATCCTTTTTAGGATTTTAAATATTTTTGTACTAGAAATTTTCATTTAATGATATTAAGAGAAAAAGATTTTACAATTTATTATGAAAAGTATCAATCATCACTTGATTAATTTCTGGATCAACAGAGTACTATAGTAGAATTGTATATATAAATTATTATATGCAGTCTTTTAACCATAAAAGAGAGGTGAAAGATACCAAAGGGATATTCAAACTCATAAATCAAAAACAATTTGACAATGCTATGGCAAAAAACAAAAGACAACAAAAAGACAAACAACAGTACTCAAAATACAACATATAAAGATAAGGACCGAGCAACAAGAACATACACATGTCTTAAAAACCAACCAAAAGGAATTAAATTTATCAATCAAGTTAATTTGTTTGTTTTTCTTTGTTTCAAAAAGAGTTCATTATGTAGTAAGAATTATGATAATTACAAAAGCTATTAAATCTTATACTTTATAGGAAATGACATTGGTCAGTGGAGGACATTTCAGGAGTTACATAGGGGGGAATTCATTAGAAGAGTCAAAGCTATGAAGGCCAAGAAACAGGTTAGATCAGAGTTTTTTATTTGCATATTTCCTGCATGTAATCATTTCTACCTAATGAATAAAATGATGAAATATCTATTCAAATACATTTGGTACTTCTAAGTATGCTGCGACAAATAAAACTTCCAAAAAAAAAAATTACATTTCATATGATCAATGTATCTACAGCTTATAAAACAAACTCTGCACTAATTACTAATTAGTTCATAAAAGCCTTCAACAATATGATACAAGAAGTAAAATTAATAATTTTATATAACAAACATTTCCCCAACTTTACAACAGTTTATTTTCCTCCTTTTTTAGGAAATCTAACAACAACAACCAATGTTAGTTTCTGTTTGAATATTTTTTTAGAAAAAGCAGGTGGGATTTTGTTAATTTGCATTTATTGTTATGAGGAATTGTACTACAAAGTTAGTTTTGGAAGAAAAAAGATAACACAAAGTCTTAATAAAGTGCTTATTTGCCTTGATTCTGGGTGCAGTGATACAGAATAATTTTTGTTTGTTTTGGATGGATAGTTTGGTGTATTTCATTGCTGCTATGTATGACAATTTTAAAAACAAAATGGTGATAAATTTGACTGATTACTTGGTGCCAGAACTTGCATTCAATTCAGGCCTTTTGCTCAACTGCACACATTAAAAGAAAGTTAGTGGAGCTTGCACATTACACACCAAAAAGTAATGCATACAGGAATTTGAAAAAGTCACAACAACATTGAATTTCCTTTATTAGATAGAAACTACGGTTCCAGCTTCAAACTTTGAATTAATTTTTCTGTTTCATTTCAGCTGCATATAGATGTAAACAACAATTCAGAGAAACATTTAAAGATGGCATTAGTATTAGATAATTCTGTGGTAAGTCATTTGTACCAGTGATCTGGAAGGATTTTTTCTCTATGGGCCCAGGGCGGCCCCCAAAAATAAATTCAATGAGCCATTTTTAGAATTAATGGGCCATGTTGTCAAATGAGTGGGCCATTCGTTTACAATAAAAAAAATAAATAAAAAAAGTGTATATTTCACTGTACTTACAAGTATGATTCTAATTAATATCATGGATATTGTTCCTGTGATTTTGTAATTTCAATTTCAATGAATATACAATAACTTCTTCCAAACCGGGCAATATTTACGATAACCTTTATTTACAATGTTAAAACTTGTACTATTCCCTTGTTCATGTTCATGGTTTTTTTTACATTAAATTTGGGTCTTCGTCGATACCATACTTATTCCAGACGTTCCGTATTAGAGGACGTTTCTGACATTTCCTCTGCACTTGTATTATTATTACTTCATCACGATGACAAGAATAACAGTAGAGAGCAACGTTAATTGATAAGACACAGCAACAATTCGCTGAAGGCATGTTTACAAAATGTCAAAACGAGCCAAAGACCAAAAAAATTGACAAGGACAGTTAAGCCCCTTTTATGGAGACAAATACTATGCTATTCATAAAAAGGCTTTTGGATTTTTCAATCGAAATAATAGCAAGCTTACTTAAAAGATTATAATTAGGTACTAGCCAATTTTCACAAATTTAAAGTTGTTTATAAAAAAATTATATCATGAATGATGGTTAATTACGTTTTTTGGGTTATCAGTCATACCGCATGTTGCTAATATTACCATAGGAAAACAACCGAGACGTCCAAAAAATATATAGGTGCTCCTATCATTGGAGTAAACACTACACAGTTGTGTACTCACACATGGCGGCACGAAATACGATCGGAAATCCATTTGACGATATCTCAACGTTTCAAAACGAAGTGAAAAATATCATGCGCCACGCGGGCGCTTACATTTGTCACTCTATGCGCCATTTCTGGTCGATAAGCGCAATTGGCGCAAGGCGCACGTCCTTCCCGATCACTGTTGTACCAGTCAGCAAGTAAATACTTTGATAATTGTACACATTTATTTTGGAATATATACATTTCATATGCCTGTCCCGAGTCAGGGACCTTGTCAATGGTCTTTCAATATCAATGATGTCCCTAGGCAACATGTCATTTTAGGCCTGTCGTCCTTCAATGAGAATGTAGCTGAGAGACTCCCTCTTGTTTGAAGAATCATCATAATCTAGGTTGCTGTTTCAATTGCCTCAATGGCCTATACCCCACATCTTTTATACATATTGGACAATTAATAATTTTTTTTAACTTGAAATATTAAGACAATTATACACATTCTTTGACATTGTAAAAATATTAAGACAATTATACACATTCTTTGACATTGTAAAAATATTAAGACAATTATATACATTCTTGGACATTTTATAAATATTAAAAGATCTACAAATGTGTCAGCATGGCTGAAACTGTCAGTCGACTCTTGAAGCTCTTGCTCAAAATATGCCGAAATCATTAGAAGACTCTTTGTAGGAGTGATTGCACTCAGATGATGATTTTTTTTACCCTCTTTTGTGTTATGGGCAAAATGAAAGAAGATAGAGAGAAACTGTAAACAGAAAAAATGATCAGCAGTACCAGATCAACAAAAAGAGATTTTTGTCATTAATTTTATTCTAGTCCACAATGCTGGAGAGTGTCTATTGTTGAAGATGCACGACACAGGCTCTATAAATCCTGTAGTTTAATGATATTATTATGTATTGATATTTCAGTATTCCAGACTAAATCTCTCTCATAAAGAAATGGTGAACTTTGCCCTACAAACAGCTAACATGGTGGATATGGTATGTTTTACTGTTAAATATGAAAACATATACATATACAAATACATGATATATATGACGGGTTGATAAATGAAAAATTGTTAACAAATACTTGTAGGGTCACTTGTTTGTCCATTTACAGAAAACAAAGTAATAGCTCTAAAACACATGGTGAAACTCTTTAGAAGTAAAAATTTTAAATACAATCAACATAAAAAAGTATCTGTAATCTTGGTATAAAAACATGCACTGATGAAATACTTTGATATTGCACATGTGCAAAACTGTAATGATTTGGTGTATTTAGTAGTTACTGGACCAATATCCAATATGATTCATTTTAAAACTCTGTGAAGGTGAAAATAAAATGTGTAAAAAGAACAATGAAGAATAATGAAAAGCAAAACTCAAATAACTTTTTATAGGACCATCATAGTCAAAATGAATTTCTATATATTGTTTTATGTAGTATAGCCTTTTGAAGAATACAGTATATTTTATTAGATATTTCAATCATACCAGTATGTTAATGAATATGGAAAGTAGACTTTATAAGTTTGATTGACTTGTATCTCAATCCCTTTTGCATATTTAAGCAAATAGAACATGATTTTAAAAATTATGTTAATGATAATATTTATTTCCATTATTCCAGTATGTAAAAGATGTAGGTATAAGAACACGAGTGACTTATGTAGAATACTGGAATGCAGGAGATAAGATGGAAATATCTTCACAGATCAGAGAACTCCTGAAATCTTTTCTAATGTACAAACAGTTTCATTTGATGAACATAGACCATCATGCAGCTCACTTTATCACGTAAGTTATTTATTAATACTTCATAAACAAGTTGCAACATAAACAGTTCACAATATAAAATCACAGATTTTCCACAAAATATTATAAATGCATTCCAAATTTTGATTATTTTGAAACTTTCTCCTTTAAAAGTGGAATTACCTGTAGTTTCTGATTATACATTTATAAATTATATGACAAAGTTTAGTTTTAAAGTTTTCATGTGAGGAAAAGGCCTTTTAAATTACTAGTTCACAAGGTAATGATCTGTAGGAAGACCTTCCTTACTCAGACACATTAATCTGACTCCGAGCCGACAATTATTTGCTCTTGCTCCTTAATGCCTTTTGCTTAGCAGAAAAACAGCAAAAATTTTTTTCCCTCAAGATGTAAGAAATTATCAATTTTCCAAAAAAAAAATTGGGGGTCACAATTTTGCTAATTCTTTGTATATAGTCTGAAAACAGATTTACTAAGTATTGCAAAGCAGCACAGTGTATTGCGCAACAGCAAGATATCTTCAATTGAATATAAATTCAAATCATATAATCAATTTCAAGTTCTTTGACTACATTTATTCTGTGTCAGAAACCTATAATGTGTCAAATACTTAATTACAATCCAAATTCAGACCTGTATCAAGCTTGAATATTGTGTCCATTTTTGCCCCAACTGTTCAGGGTTGGACCTCTGCAGTCGTATCCAGCTGGGCTCGGCGAAGCAGTTTATTTGACACTTCTGACAAGGAGGCAGCACATAAAGTTCAGACAATCTTAATTAGAACATCATCAAGATATTTTTATGAGAGTTTCAAGACACAGAAAGGTATTGTTGAAATTGGTGTTTAAAGAGAAAGCTATTATTTTTCATTTACATTTTTTTCCTGTAATGATATTTTGTTACTGCTAAGTTAAGATTGCCGAAACTCTTTTTATTCTAATTTGAGATGTGCAGTGCTTAAATCTTTTTAATGTCAATCATATGCATCAATTATATATTACAGGCACGTCCCATTAGAGGATAACTCTGTTGGTTTAGCTATACCAGATAGTGTGTGTACAGAGAGAGCTGTTGGAATAAATAGGGTAGGACTTTGTTAGAGTAATAAGTCAAAGCAACTTTAAAAGCTTGCTGTACTGTAAAATTTTCTTGGTAGATGAGAAGTGACAAATATATTTTAAAAATCTTTAAAACTCTTTTCCCTTATTTTCATTCTTTTTTCACAATTATCGATCGATGTGAGAAAAATATTTCTCATCTCTAAAGAAAACTCAGCAAATGATTGGTCAAAATTTGATTATTATGTCATATTTTCTTGGTTTCTTCTGAATTTCCTATTGTGACGTCATGAAAAAAGGCCACCATGTCTGATGATGTCACACTTAAAGAACACAACTTTCTGCAAAACTTTGAAAAGGAAGGATAAACTTTGTTAAGATATTGTCTAAAAATCATTAGAGTAACAGATTCCACCACTATAACTCGTGTATTAAGATACTTCTCCACTCTCAACAGTTAAATTTTAGTTATTCAAAAAGCTTGGTTAGCCACCGCGCTTTAGATATTAAAATTTAACTGTCTAGTGTGGAGAAATATCATAACATACTTGATGCAGTGGTGGAATCTATATTTCTTAGTAGTGAGATATGAAAAGCATTTGATTTGATGTTAGTTGAAGGAAAATCAGTATTGATCTGGAAAATTATGCTTTCTAATCTATCTCAAAATTTATTGAATAATTGATATTGCCATTTTGTTACTTCATTCATATTGAATTATGTAATGGCTGTACTGAGTTGTATTGTTTAAAAACCATTTTACTACTATTGACATTGTAAGGTATTATTACATTGAGAAATTATTTGTAATAAAGAAAGGATACCCTTAAGCTTTGAAGGTTGCAATAATATAAGCTGTATTGATACTTTTTTTCAGGTATCAAGTGTACTGGAACCTCAACAGCTTGCAACCATTCTGACACATATGTTAGGTCATAATCTAGGACTGAAGCATGATGAAGATGGTAGGTTAAATAATCACTTACTCAGTTCTTTCATTATGTAATATACAGTTTTGAGAACAGTCAGTATGCCTGTAAATAAGTTTTGTTTAATTAGACATTGGTTATAAGTGTTTGATCAGTTTAAACTTTCTTGATTAAATATGTTTATTGGTGACTGAAAACTGTTTATTTGCCATAAGTATTTGAACATGAAAAACAGATTTTTGTTCAAACTATTATCAGTAAGTGAAATACTGGAATAAATGTAAAATATGCATGATATCTTTAGCCATAGTTTGCATTTTGAATATTATTAATTTTAGATTTCTTCTAACATAAATGGTATGGTACACCTACCATGTTTGTTTTATTTCTCCCTCATTTATTTCTTATAAAATATCTGGAAAAAATTAGTAGGAATTAATGTTAAAGAAAATATGTGATTGTACCACATAAAGTTCTGTCCTTTAAATAAGATGGTGAACAAATTTTAATTTTGACAGTTTTTTTCTTTTTCACACTGCATTTAAATAAGAATCATAGATAGTTTAGAAATAAAATCTTGAAACCAAAATAAAACATTTGTGTTACATTTGGAATGTTTTTCAAAGGCTAGTTTCACCAAATAATCATATACTATACTTAATTCTAATAGTCAAACAACGGGAATTATACCATAGAGGTAACTTGTTGTCTTATCTGTTCCAGCACTGCATCTAAGTTTTACTTTTTTCACTTTTTGTAATTTTTTATGTGCCGTATCCTCTATTGTGATGAAATAATTATGAAATAGTTAATGAGATTCATGATAGTGTTGATATCTGTTAATAAGTCATTGACGTAATTTATTGTTGTTTTGATATTTTTGGTTAAACATTATACGTCATAGATGAACAAGCATTTTATGTTTTACAATTATTTTTTGGAACACAGTTTTTCTCTTTGTCAGTTTTTATGTTTTTTTGTTCTCATTTTAAATTATTCAATGTATGTTTTTTTTTTTGCTTTTAGCTTTATTTCTATTTAGTTAAATATAAATTCTGAAGACAGGATTTAAGCTTATGAATTTTAGTTAAATTTAAGACATTATTTTTAGCTTGTAAATTTGTTGTTGAGCAAAAACCCTCCCTATTACATCCATTGGTTATCTGTGTGATATATATAATATACAGCATATGGAATGGTGTTATCTGGGTATTAAAGTTTTGTGCACAGCATATGCAATTTCATTATTTGACCATTAAACAAGGTTTACAATCAACTTTGGGTACAGTTATATGTAAAATCTGGCACTGTTGATATTATATTTGTTGTAAATTCAGTTCCAATATATGTTTTGAGCTTTCCACACTCAGGAGAAATTTTTTTTTTTTCCATGGAGTACAAGAATAATCTCAAACTTAAGTATTTCACAAGGTTATGGAGGCTTTGCTAGAACAATCTTTACACCACATATAATCTAGAATAGATATGTGATTTCAGCACTTGCTTGATGGGAATACCATTTGATTTAAATTAATAAAGATTTGATTTTGTGACACTAGTCTGAAAATGCATCATCAAATCAGTATTGTAATTTTTTAAAATAGCTATTCAGGAGCCTGTATTTCAGTGGTTGTAGTTGGTTCATGTCTGTCATATTTGTTTTTCGTAAACTGTTTTGTTATAAATTAGGCCGTTAGTTTTCTCAATTGAAATGTTTCATATTTTTCATGTTAGGGCATTTTATAGCCGATCACACAGTATGGGTTTTTCTCATTGTTGAAGGCCGTACTGTTGCCTATAATTGCTTACAAACACTTCATTTGAACTTTGGTGGATAGTTGCCTCATTGGCAATCATACTTCATCTCCTCATTTTTATATTCAAGGTTGAATCAGTTTTAAGATTTACAAGGGTTTATTCTGGTACCCATTTGTGTCTTTTAAATACTTGAATCTATGGCTTGCTGTGTCAATAATGAATACCCCATCGTATATCAAAATTGTATGATTGATTGACTGTTGTTTGCTTAAAATCCAGAAGCAAAAGTTTATGAACTCAAATTTGAAACTTGATCTTTTAAAACTACAAGAGCTGTAATAGGGTAAGCTCAAAATTCCCTCTGAATTGGTAAATTAATTATGTAATATACATCTTGAAATGCAAAATAGTGTTAACCAAATGTAATAAAAGTATATCAAGCTTGGGTGTAAGCAGAACAGCTAACAGGAGGCTAATTATTTTTTTAGATAGGCATATGTGCTTTTATCAAAGTTTGCAGTACTTGTACTTTATACAACATTATTCATTCAAACTAAATTTACTTACATTTCTGAGCTAATACTAAAGTATCACTTGATTGACTTTGCAAGTATTTGATTGCGTTTTTTAGAAGAAATTGATATCCTTACTTGGCATATTGTTATCGTAAAGAAAATTCACTTCATCTTCAGAAACCTAACTTTTTGCATTATAATTTTAATCTTATTGCAACTTACATAACTTAAGAATTTTTGCAACTGAAATATTAAAAATAAGAACATTTTCATAAATGACTTCTTATTCAATAAATAAAATATGTCAAAATTGTGATCAAATAATGATAGGGATTTATGCTTATTGAGAAATAAGCTTTTGGAAAAATTTGGTGGGAAAAAGTTTATATTGAAAATGTAGAGGAAGAATTAATGAATTTTAGCTGTATTAAAAATATAATAGAAAGAAAAAGAATTTCAAATTAAACCTGAGATGTATTTGAGATGAAAGGTATACTGAGAAACATAGAAGTTGCTGGACAAACATGAAGCAAATACCCTATAGCAGAAACTTTGTTTTGTATACTTACATGATACGTGCATAGTTGTTTTTCGTTTAATTGATGCGTATCCACAGGATTAGAATTAAGTTCAAAACATTGAATGTTAACCAGCCACAATTTGTTTAACATTCTGCATAGTATTTTACATTAAGCATACCTATTTTGTCTTTTACTTGACATTATCAATTTTTCCAACTAATAATATAACATGGAATGCATTTGTATCCCCTTCTTTGAGCCCACTTTTGATCTTGATTCCAGTTTCTTGTTTATAATTATTGTGTTTTTAATTTATGTTTTGTTTATGTTTTATATCCGTTATATATAGGGTTAAGTGCTTTTTCTGTTCTGATTTTTATGCATGTTCTTTTATGTACTCTTTGTTATTCTGTATACTGATAAATAGTAAAAAACATGAGGGTCAAAATCTCAAAAAAACTTTTCAACCCTCTAACATGTTCATGTGACTGTCCCAAGTCTGGTATCTCAGTAGTGGTTGATATATTATGGTGTAATAATATCTTTTATCGGTAATTTGTACATTTTTCCTTTGATGTGTACTCGCTGATAATGTCAGTATCAGTGGACTGGTCGTGATAAAAAAATTATTGGGTCAGTTCGCAATTGACATGCGCGAGTGCACTGCGCAAGGATCTACTTTCCCTTTTATTTTCAAAATCGCGCGTGATTTTTTTCGCAGAAACACACAAGTTTTTTTGTGAATGAACCACTGGTCATTGTTTCGGTAAAATTAGTTTAGCTCTTTTGAACGATTTTGTCTAAATTGTGTGAAAATTTGAACAGAAAATGTGTACGAAAAAACCGATAAACTTAAATTATTTGTGTTTTCCGCAATATCATTGATAGCCTTACTTACTAACACAATTCTTTATTAATAGTCTTGTAATTGTTACAAAATACATCAAATGACATAGTTACAAACCTGATCTTGAACTGTATCAAATTTTTTGTGATGTCACTTTTGTGGCGTTGATCCAGTTGTGTGAAAGACAGTTCGTGGTTCTGTTGTGCTGTTTTTGTGTGCTGTCCTATGTTGTTTTACGTGTTCGTTTTTATTCTGTGGTTAGCATGTCAATATACTATTGTATTGTTTATTTGTGTATTTCTCTGTCCTGAATGTTCTTGCATTTATTTGTACTGTATTCCTGTCATGTAATGTTGTCATTTTAGTGTTATATTTAACATTGTCATAAAAGCGCGAGGTTTGGCTAGCCACAAAACCAGGTTCAACCCACCATTTTTTCTTAAAATGTCCTGTACCAAGTCAGGAAAATGGCAGTTGTTATCTGATAGTTCGTTTCTGTGTGTGTTGCATTGTCGTTTGTTTTTTGTTCACTTCAGTGTTTCTGTTGTTTCGTTGTTTTCCTCTTATAGTTGATGTGTTTCCCTCGATTTTAGTTTGTAACCCGGATTTGTTTTCTCTCAATCGATTTATGACTTTCGAACAGCGGTATACTACTGTTGCCTTTATTTACTATTCCGATCTGAATGTTAAATAGTCTGCATGTGTTGTTCCAATGTGTCTTCCTTTTCTGACTTTATCACTTTTTTTTTACTTTATCACTGTAAAATATCAGGCTAGCCCTTTGGGCTCACCTGATATTTTACCGTGATAAAGTCAGTATCAAAAACAAAAAGTCCTTTATTCTATATCTATGGATCTGTTGGTGATAGCAGATATCTGTTGATTGTATTTGCAGAGGCGATTTATAGCTTGACATTGTGTAAAGACACTTGTTGATAGTTGATGGGCATATGTTGCCCTTTAGATTTCTTTTGTTTTTGAATGTTGTTGGGTTGCTGTCTTTTGATATATAGCCATCGTTTCTTTTTATTTACATCTTGTCTTCCAAACGACTGGCAGGAACTTATTAAAGATATCACTTACAGAGAAAACACATAATGCATATAAAAAGCAAGGAAAATGAATGAGAAATAAAAACTATTCATGCTAGAATGCATGGCATAATATCTTAAAAACATGAAAATAAATACACAATACAACTTTTTTTGTTGGATGTAAAGCTTGACATGTTCTATAGACAACTGTCTATTGTTTAAGACTGTATGTTGCCAGCTGAATGTCTTTAGGTTATTGGTGTCATTATGTTGCTTTCTTAATGTTATGAACCCCAAATCTTCATTTATTCAAATTGTAAACCAAAATTTAAAAATTTTGATGCTGCAAGAATTGAAATGTTTAAAGCCTGATATGTGTATGGCTTGCTCTCTAATTGATACGTGTTTCCTTTACAGGTGGTTGTGACTGTAAGGACCAGGTTGGATGTATCATGTCTACAGATGTACTGTAAGTATAGAACTGTAGTATGGATAGAAATATGTCATCTTTTGTAGGAAAGCCTTAGAATGTATACAGTCGATTTGTATTTTATTAACATGATAGGTTATTTTATATAAATATCAATAAAAAATAAAGATATGATAAATTTGTCTGATGTATATAGATTGAGGTCAAGAGGGATTGTGTTTCTTTTGTCTACACACAGAACAAACCTGTGTCCTTTATTTATGAAGTATTATTAATTACTGGTTCTGTGGCTGATGTATTAATATGATTTAAGGATACTTGAAGTTTAATGTAAACCTATTATTTTCAGTTTTTAATTTCTTAACCATAGTCACTAAACTTGTTTGTTAGAAGTTAAAGAACTCTTTCAATATGTAAGAAATTTAAGCAGATATATTTCATTTGCTATACTCTTGCATTGATTTGTTTGTTTTACCAGATAATCAAACTTTTAGTAGATTATATTTTTATTTCTGATATTTTGATATATGAGGTTAAGGCAACATTCATTCTGTACAGTTTATAAATGTTATGAATCATATTTACATTTGTAATAATTGTATATTTTAGGATGAGATCAGACACCATTCATTCCAGACAGTTCTCTAACTGTAGTAGATCAGATTTAGATGTATCTATGAGTATGGACATTACAGCATGTCTCAGTGCCAGTCCAAGAGAGGTCAGTTATTTATAGCTACAAAATACATTTTATACTTACATGCTTGAATCAAATTAACAATTAACATTTCACAATTTACATATTTGTTAAAATAACATCTGAGTGATATTTGTTGTCATTTTTTTTTGAAATTTTCTTAATATTAGAAAATGTTGAACCTATTTTTTTAAATATAAAATAATAAATATTTATGAAAATGGTTCAGACCGAGTATGAGCTTGGCATCCTTAATGGAACATTTAAAAAACAAATTTGCTGAAACCACTGGGCTAATTAGGACCAAACTTCACCAGTAATTATCCACATGCCTTATCCTTCATATATATTAAAAGAATATAGAGAAGAAATAATCAAATGATTAGATAAAACTATAAAATGTAAAGGGATATTTAATTATATTGCCTATAAGTTTAATTATTCCTTCTCCCAACCGGTTTGGGTTTCAGCAGCAGTCATGTAGTTTGATGGTTTGTATATTCATCCATTTTCTTTCACGGTTAGCTGTTGCTTACATCTCCAGAACTAAGAAGTCATAATAGTTCATTAATTTGTAAATGGACACACTGATTAGTTAAAAATGTAGGACCTCACAAAAATTGGCCCAGTATGACGTATGAATAATTACACTTTAAATATGATGTTGGAGTATAGCTTTTTTGTCCATCAGGGGCATAAAACACTTCAATCAATCAATATACCATAAGTGAACAGGCTAGGCAGACAATTAACTGCTTGATTGCTAAGTAGGATATGAATCATTATGTTTTCATGTCAGTCTTGTACACAGGACATTGGACACTTCTCAGTTAAAATGAAACATTTATGGAGGTTTCAAATAATGTATTTACACCTTAAAATAATAGAATTTCCAAATCAATAACTCTTGGGCCTGCATATAGAAGCTTAACCTAATTCTTGCTTGTATAACAGATTTTAAATTTTAATACTCAACTTTATTTTATTTGTTTTACAGTACTATATATCTAATGTGATTCAAGTAAGATATATGTCTATCACTTCTTATAGCATGTATTGTTGTATTCACACCAAAAATAATTTTATTAAAAATGTACAAATATCATTATGATCTCAACATGTTTGCATCTTTTTAAATTTTTTGTTACTTTTTCTTTGTTTATTTTTTAATTTAAATGTCTGTTAAAAATTGTTGTTGCTTAACTTTCATAAATTTTAAAGAAATAATAAATGTGCTGTGTTTCTAAGTTATTATAGTATTGCTAACCTTTCAGTCAAACAGTGTTTCCTATGTCAACAGCATTCTTCACGTTATAATCTGATCACCAAAAGTTAAAGAAAATAAGATATGATAGTCTGATAAAAAAAAATAGTTCCTGCAACATTTGATTCAGGTTTATATTTTTTTCATATAATTTGACATCTAATGCATTAAAGGAATAGAATTTTTCAGTATATTACTTCTGTGAAAATTAAAAAAATAAAGTTATTTTTCATTCTGATATGTAAATGTGCATTATCTTCACATGCTTCTTACATCTTTATTATAGATGGCTTTTACACAAGAATGTGGCAACTTGATAGTAGAAAGAGGGGAGGAGTGTGATTGTGGAACACCTCAGGTTTGTATTCACCTTTCAAAATGATCTATAGAGTCGAACATTAAATCTGTGGTATCCATTGTTAATTGTTACAGTAAGAAATGTATCAGATTGAGAATTTAAGAAGTGTATCAGATTGAGAACTTGTTTGCACAGAATCTTATCTAATTAATGTTTACACAACAACAAAAAAATATGTTGATTATATGGTATACACCAGTATAAATGTTTTTATATGTAACACTATTTCAGGAATGTGCAATAAGAGATCCGTGTTGTGATCCAGATACATGTTTACTGAAGACTTGGGCCCAGTGCAGAACAGGATCATGCTGCTATAACTGCACAGTATGTACCTCAACCATTGTGTCAATCGTCTACTATTTATAACTAATAATAAGTAGATGATTGAATTAAAGTTGTATATGGTTTAAAAGAACAAATTTGAAACAGCAATTTATATAATGTGGTTTCAACTCATTCTTGAAATGTTGTTCATCTTAAACAATTTTGGCTGTTCTCTAGAATTTTGCAGTTTTGATAATCTCAAATTTTTATGAAATTGGCTTTTAAATTTTCAATCTTGTACCTGATCATTTTTCCAGATTAATGTGACATGCATATCAAATGAATTATCATTAACGAAAAAAAATAAAAATATTTTTATTCCAATATTTTGGCTGAATTTCATTGTAAAGACTGTTGAATTATTCTAGAAATATTTACAGACATATTCACTATAATTTTTCAGTTTCTTCCACAACAATATGTTTGTCGAGAGAGATCCACAGAATGTGATGTACCTGAACTATGTACTGGTTTCTCAGGGGAGGTAAGTCATAAAGTATTTGTTTTACATGTGTCTAAAGAAGGTTGCTGTCATTAACAATTGATCTATCTTTATATTTTATAAAAGCTCATTTTACAATTTTCATAAATTATCTACATCTTGATAGAATCTTCATGATAATTGGACAGACACATTTTTATGACCAAAAGTATTCTGAATTGTGACAACTTTTCCACATTTGATAGGTATTTTTTTCCTCACAAACATTGGTCAACCTTCATATTTAAATTTTCTACAATTGAAAGAATTTATTGAATCTGTTTAGAATTTCATTTTGATTTAACAGGAATTTCTTGATCAAATAAACAAGTTTTATTTTCCATTTCTCCAAATTTTATTAAAACAGGCGCAAATATTTTGTCAAGTCCTAATTTAAAAAGGATATAACTTGAAGTAGTTTAATCTGTATAAAATTTGCACAAACCTTAAGATGATACATGTTATCGTTCTTTACTTTTTTGCTGTCTTCATTATTGAAGGTTGTACAGTGACCTTTAGTTCCTATGTCATTTGGTCTCCGTTGGAGAGTTGTCTTATGGGAAATCATATCACATCTTCTTATTTTCATTTTGATGAAAAGGAAGATTCATTCACATTTATTAAATTTAAAAAAAGATCCACATAGAGCAAGTCAAGAACATTTTGTGAATAAGATTATTACTTATTCCAATTGATATACATGGTATTTACTGTAAAATGGTCATTAACTAATATTTTTTTTTCATTAGTGTCCATCCAACAACTACATACAAGATGGTCATCCATGTGGAAATAGCAGTGGTTTCTGTCAAAGTGGTATTTGTCCTACCATGGCTCTGCAATGTCAGCATATCTGGGGAGAAGGTATGTAACAATGTTATCACCATTTCCTATTTTATAAGGGGTCACAAGTTTGCATTTTCATTTCCTAAAACACATTGTATGTGTACTTGCAATCAATTCATCTGTTAGCTGTTTTTTACTATTCACATTGTATATTCGATTTTAATAAAGAATAGCAAGAAATCCACTGTTAACTCTAACCCCTAAACCTACCAAATAGTATAACTGATCAACTCGTGATATATAAAAATAAAAAAGATCAGCTGACTGATTAAACAACATCCTAATGCAAACAATTGTTTGGTTCCCCATTTGAAGGTTTTGAATGCTTTATCCAAGGATGTTCAAAGTTGCTGTGTTGTATTTATTTCTAATGATGATCGGAATGTCTTAATATTCAAGACTTAACTAAATAATGTTAATACTTATTTAAGACTTTAATAAATTGTTTAGTACTTTATAAGTGATGAAAAAATGTCAATCAGTACACACATTATTTGTTTGAAGCAAATTGATTGCTATGCTTTAATGCTTTAAAAACAATTATGCCTTGAATTGTTTGTATTTACACATGTTTTAAATTATTATGAATTTTGTAAGCTTGTATCCAAGTCAATGATTCTCTTTAGTTAAAAATGAAAAACAACAGTCTGTTTAAAATGTTTTTAAATGGATATTTTCAAAGATGGATATTTTCAAAGATGGATACAAAGCTTTTACAGAATATTTTTAGCTTCTTTCTTACAATAATATATTTGGGAAAATGATAGAAATCTGCCAAGTCATTTTATTTCAGTGTGCAAAAAGCCATGTGATAATCGTATTTCAGATATGTATGAACTTCACAAATCAATTTATCAGAAATGGTGTTCTGTATTTAACCTCTTATCTGTTTTAGGAGCTATAGGTGCAGATGAACAGTGTTACGAAAGATTTAATCCCATCGGTAATTTTAATGGACATTGTGGAAAGGATGATAATACAGGATCTTATGCTAAATGTCTTCCAGAGTAAGCATAAATATTCTCTCAGAATATGCTCAAAGCTGTATAAAACTATTGAGGGAACTCTAAAATTAATCTCCTCTTTATTTTTACTACAGATTAGATCATATCAGAACGTCTGAAATGACATATACTTTTGTAATGAAGCCAGACATAAATTCTACATAAGATAAGAAACTGAATTAATTTACACCAACTGCTGAATTATTTACATTATATATGATAAGAATAGTGTGGGTATGTTTATCCGACATACCCTTCGTAGCAAATATTGAAGTAAAAATGTAGAGTTTTTGTTGTTCAATTTTACCAAGAAAAAAATTAAAATCTTATTCCAGATAAAATACCCTTTAAGCAAATGAATAGACATAGGTTGAATCTTAAGGTAGACATTATATTATATTTGACATCATCAAACTGAGCATCTTTTGAACCAACATCTCCAATTTGTGACTTGTTTTATAAAATGGTATGTTTTTAAAATTTCCAAACTGAGAAGTAGCTATCATTTTCTTTTAAATATTTTTGAAATTTGATGTTGACAGGGAAATATTGAGAAAATTAGATTGACACAAAAATCAACAATTATACTGTTTATATATGTTTATTTTTAGAAACATAATGTGTGGATTGCTACACTGTGATGGTGGTACTGTTGCTCCGCTCTTTGGGTCAGATAAAAATTTTATGAAGACAACACTTGTCTCTAATGGCATAGAGTATGCATGCAAGTAAGTTTTTGTTTAACAAAATCATGAAAATATTATTGTAATTTAATACCACATTAAAGTTCTGTAATTATCTTTAAGTTCAAAATAAGAATTACAAAGGGTGTATGCAGCAATAAGTTTAAGCTTGAGTAAATTGATAAGTTTTGAAAATCAACTAAAATATGCAATATTACAATACAACATATATTGCTGATTACCTTGCAGATATAAGTGGGGACCAGGATGACAATACTACAAAGTACAAACAACAGTACAGTACTTGATATCTGGTACCCAGTACAGTAACAAGATTCCTATCATAAGTTTACTGTTGCAGTGATAAATTTATTATCTCTTGTTCATTAATAAACAGTGAATATTATATAAGTTCTATGCTGTTGTTTGAAATATCATAGGAATTATTATTATAGGAAAAATATTGATCAAATTATACAATTACAGAGTGATCCATGGCCCAGCAGTGTTAAATCTGCCTAATTTTGGACTGGTACAAGATGGAAGCAAATGTGGAAACAATAAAATTTGTATGAACAAACAATGTGTCTCAGTATCAGTATTGCCTCCACTTAAATGTCCAGGAACTGTTGACAATGTTATCTGTTCAGGCAGAGGGGTAAGTCAGATACTTTAGTCAGACTATCAGGTTGTCCCAGGTTAATATTCCCTGGAAGACAGCATCGTCAGATATGTTAGTTAAAAGAGGTCAATCAGGTAAATCTTCAGATGGTCAAGTCAATCAGGTTATTTCAGAATAATCTCCCCTGGCAACGTCATCTGAATTGGCAATGTTTGTCTCAGGATATCTTTGCTCTATAATTGTACAGGATTTGTAGGTATTTTCATCTGTTCAGGTAGAAGAGTAAGTCAGCTTGTTAATTCAGGACAAAACCAATTACGGAAGACAATCATTTGCTAAGAAGTGTAAATAAAACTATATAGATCAAAGTAATCATATCATTACTCACGAAGTGGGTGGTATACTGCAACTGCCTTTTCCTTTGTCCATTATTTTTCTCTACATAATACTCACTAAGGAATTATTTGACATTTGGTCTGGAACTTTTTTATGTTGAGTTGTAACATGTGAGTGATATTCCGATCTGCCAGATAGTCCTTGCCTGTTTTGTAATACTTTTTTTTATCAAATCACTGAGTATGGAATTTTGGGTTGTAGAGAAACTATACATGAACTTTTTGTTTCAAATAATAGGTGTGTACACAGAAGGGAACTTGTTTCTGTGATGAAGGTTGGACTGGTTCTGATTGCACTGTTAAATCCAATATCACCATGACAACAGGAGTACTACGCAAACCTACATTGCCAACCACCCCAACGACAACACTAATCAAGGTCACTCAAAGGTCAACAGCCTTGACCACCACTACAATAATAACTGCACCTCCAGTAGCTGTTGTAAAAGGTATAATAGTTATCACTATGTAGATATAAGGGGTATATTTTATTTTAAAAAGAGACTTGTTAGTATGTCAGTCAATTGTTAATGTTTCACTGCATACACTTTCCAATGTAAATTAGTTTTCTAAGCATGCAGCAATTCATTTTAAAGTGATATTTCATATCTATCAGATACATTAACGGAAGAATAATGATTAAAAGCATTTAATGAAATTAGTATACAGATATAGTGTTTATTTGGTAATTAATTTAAATGAGCCTGTTTCATCTCCACTTTGGCAGACTGAAACAAATAGAAACCAACTAATAGATTTAAGAGATAACTGTATTGTATTTGAAGCTTTGCGGCCATCCATCAGTAGTTTTACTGTCGCAAATTTAGTTTACCTGGCGACGCGTAGCGGAGACTGGTAAATGGGTATTTGAGACAGTAAAACTACCGATGGACGTCCGCAAAGCTTCAAATACAATACAGTTATCTCTATTCTAATGCAAAAAAAGTACATAATTCAATTTCAATCATTATTTCAGTGTAAAATTCTCATTAAAGAAAATTCCGCGAAAAGATGTTATCTTCTTTGGCCCCTAAAGTAGGTGACGTCATAGGTATGCTTCCGGCGTCAAACGTAAACACCAGGCGTTTTCTGGCTTCTTGGCCCCTTCAGAATGTAATTAAATTTGATAAAAAGAAGATTTCTAGGTGCAACGTGAGTTTTTTTGCTTATTATTGTAAAAATTGCATGTCAATACATTCCGCAATTCAAAATGTCGGCTTCATTAGTTACAGACAAGGAGATAGAGAATTTTATGCTTACTGTCATCAAATCAGAACCATTGATACAAAAGAATTGCATTAGAATAATGAATTATCTGGATAAATGAATAACATAGTCCTTCACAAATTTTTTTATACTCATAAGGGAAATCAAATAGTTATGATTCCTTAGGATATTTTGAAGGTGTCTTTTCCTGAAGTAACAAGAAATTAGATTTTGTACAAGAATTCTCATATTACATATGTTGTTGTTATTTTGTAGCAGATGAAAGTGGAATAAGTACAGAATGGTTGGTGATTATTTTAGCCTCAGTGGTTGGATCTCTGGTGTTCTTGTTAGCTGTGACTTTCCTGTGTTATAGGTAAATAAATAGGTTTACTGATGTCTACATAAGGACCCCCCTAATTCAGCTGTATTCAGGAAATGCTAAAAACTAATTTTAATTTACAGTAAATAACATCTTGTGTCAGATTGTACGATTGGTACTCGAGTAAAAGTCGATCCGACTATAAGTTGGATGCCCTGTTCAGCTTTACAACTAAGGATTCAGTCTTGACCCTCGTATAAGTCGGTCAAAATTTGGGTTTTTTTTTCAGCAGACAGTAACTGACCGCCGATAAAATCAATGCAAAATCTAGGAATTATATTCATTTTGTGATCCCTTCATGAATGGATGTTTGTTTGCCTAAATCTAATTGATGTTCATCATAATAATGTATAATGCTCTTAATAATAAAGACGTATTCATTTCTTGTTTTATTCACTGTTTGATTTAGCCATGTGTTTGTTTACATAATGCATCAATGTATTTGTAGAGTATGACTAACCACCTATTGTTAGAGAAAAACGAATATAAATGGATATGAACCTGAATAAATCAAAAGTCAAACAACACTTGCTGAAAATGTTTTTCACAGCATGCATAGTTCAGTAATGAGCACACATCACAATTCTTATTACAAAATGTATATTGTGATGATAAAAAGGATTATAGAAATCAAGTGAAGCTAAATAATTAATTAAAATAATTCCAACTCTTTGGTGTCACCTTTTGACCTGTCACTGATATTTTCCTGGCGCTTCTTTTGGGTTTATATACAAACCATGTGACCATGAAAAATCAATACACAAAACGGAAACAGTGGGAAATTCAACACAAATTGGCAGAAAATGATTATCAAAGAACAAATAAAACACAAAGACAGTATTGTAGTCATTTATTTTCAACAAAAGCTTAATTTAGAAAGTTTTCAAGTAGGTTTGGCTTTCACCAACATGGTTTTCTTCAGGAAATGCACATCTGACCACATTTCTCGGACTTGGATTTTTCCTCTAGTCACTGGATTTCGGAATAAGTCGGTACCCTTCTCTGGAATCTGAATTTTATTCCCAAACTTCCGACTCATACTGGAGTTCCTACAGGGTATGTAATTTTGAGTAGGAGTACATTGACTCCACTAGCAAAGTTGCCATAATAAATATGAGAGCAAAAGTATATAGCAACACAGTAAGTCAACTATTATATAAGTCACATAAATAGCCTCCACAGTTATGATTCACTATTAAGAAAAAAAAAGATGAGATTGGATTAGAATTAATTGATTAATTAATTATAAAGACCTAAGATACATGAAACATATTTACAGGAGAACAAGTCCAGTGAAGAAGAGATTTTTTGGAAAGGGAAACAAATCCATAAAGTTTGGTGCTACACCTTCTTACAAGTAAGCAAAGTTACATATATTGAAGCTGGAATTTTAGTGTGATTTATAATTCATATGGATGACAGAGATAGGACAATACATATGTAATGAAACACCATGTTAAGATTTAAACAAAAACAAGGTAATGAATGGAAAACACGTTGTATGAAATGAGAACCTGATACAAATATATTTGGTTGTTTCCTAGTTAATAGCAAATTTTTTATTTAACCTTTATAGATATCAGTGTTATTAAGTATCAGATTTGTTTTGTCTTTCTTAAATAATTCTATGCTTTTTATCGTAACAACCCTGCATACCTGAGGTATCCATTTTAGGGATTCTATTGTATTGAAGATTAACCAGGCGTTGGTTCACTGTCATTGTAATTCTCTGCTTTATTAACATGAATATTTTAAAAAAAAAGAAGAGGTGGTATTACTGACCATGGAAGACCTACAAACCAAAAATCAATGGGCGCAAAAAAATCAATTATCAATCCCAATAAAGCCTACAAAAATTGGTGAGAACCCATACCATAATGGAAGGTATAAAAAGCTTCTTGTAAAATAAATTCTATCCCAACTTCAATACAACAGAAAGATAATAATGAACACTGTACTGTTCCATTTAAAAAATAACTGTTTAGATGAAGTATTTGTCAAACTTTTTGCTAACATGCTGCTTTCTATTTCAGACACCGTGGGTTATTTGGAAAGAAGAAGAAGGGGACCAGTGAAGAAGAAAGTGATATTGGTGAGCTCCCCCCACCACCTGTTATTATTTCTGATCCTAATTCAGCTATGCCTGAGAGGGGTATACTGAAAAACAATCGTAAATCTAGTGATGGAAGTCGTAGTAGTGATACATACACTGGTACCGGAGGAACAGATACTGCAGACCAGGATAGTGAAGGTCCTTATGGACTGGAAACAGAAGATGATGAGGCAGAAGAAATTCAGGAAATTCTTAATCGGAAATTTGATCCTGAAAAATCTATGGAAGCCTTAGATCAGATAGTGGATTCTTCCAGCTTTGACTTTGTATTGCCATCCCCATATTTTAGTACTGTTGGTAATTGTACAGATAATTCTCCAACCAAAAGACTTTTTGGATATGATATACCTCAGTTCTCACAGCAAACACCACAACGTCCATTTTATTGGAAAAATAATTTGTCATCCCCTCCAAAGTCTAGAGTAGTTAGAATGAAAAACTTAGATGAATTGATACAACAAATTGATCGCCATACTATTGATCTGTCCCCATCACCAGATGAGCTTCAGATGCAGATATCTCCATCTACATCAGAGGATGTTCGTAGTAATTCAACCGATGATAGACAATATCACAACAATCACACTCCTCCTAGTCCATTGTCAATAGCTAGCACTAGTACTAGAGACACCTACAGACCATTTTTAAACAGTCAGTGGACAAAATATATCTTGCGTAGAAATGAAATGGATGATTGTGGTATGGATGTGTATGGATCTGAATCCCCCATGCCACAGATCAGTATCCCACCTCCTATGAGTCCACTAAACATCCGAAGTATATATAACTATGCACAAAACTCACATGGAAGAGATGTGAATGATACACCTATAGGAAGTCAGGCAGGGGATTGTGGATCAACTCATGGTACCACAAGTTCTAGAAATGGATATGAAAAAAGTTCAGGCTATGGTAGTGAACATGATCCTGAACACTTCAGTACTGATGAAATGTCACGTAATCAGTCTCGCTCAGGATCACTCTCTCCTCCACCTTACAGTGCAGTGATAAGGGCGGGCCCAAATAAAATCAAATTAGTATCTGCCAAAAAATTACATGATACTGGGATTGGGGATGAAGACTTACAAAAACTTTTACAAGAATTACCAAAAATAGATTCAGGATCTTACAGCCGTCATCCTGTGAAATCAGAAGCTAGTCTCCCACCAAAAGAAAGTGATCCCTTGTTAGGAGGACATTTACAAGATGAGCAGGATTGTATTGAAAATGCTCCCTGTATTGACTGTAGTGTTGAAGAAATACCAAATAGTAAGTCTCGACGAAAAAGTCGTGGATCTGTCAATAGTCAGCTGATGAATATAAGCTTTAATCAGAATGGTGAAGACAGGGATTGTGTTGAAGTAACTGACAATAAACATAATTGTGCCATTGATGTTGATACTTAAATTACTGATATTTGTAATGGTTATATTATACATCAGTTGTAATATGTTTTGATTGTAAATACAGTTAAATGTTATATAATACCAGTTTCTTACCCATAATTCTAATTACATAGATATAATAATAGAAGTTATTTAATAAAGAAAATATTATTTTACACTATGGAATGAAATTTAGATAAAAACAAATATTCATCGATTAACAAGCCAAATGACAGATTCTTTTACAGCATTCACTTCATACAAGTACATTTGTTGGCAATTTGTATTTAATAAAATGATAAAAAAAATAGTTATTATGATATACTTATACACTTAAGATAACATATAATCTTCTATATACTACATTACTACATTTTTTGTTGTATAGACTTTGTGCCAAAGTCAAACTTGGCAGCTTGTTATTATACTTATAGTTTTACTACATGCATAGAAACAGCAGTGCTGTAACTTGTTTTAAAACTAAGAACAAAATAAACATTAAATATGTACAGCAATGAGCATGATTAGCAAGTGTGGATTTATGGTATGGAACAATGTAAGAATCCATTACTCAAATCTTTTTGATTAAAGTTAAAGTAGAGGAATTGTAAAATACACATTTCTGTATAATAGAAAAACAATAGTGTTCTTTTATCTGTCTCAATTAATGGCTTATCCTGCTTATTGTACAAATTTTGCATAGCATTCCTTTATATTGAATATTTTTACTTTAAAAATTGTCTTAAAACCTCACTTCAATTAACTGGTTTGTCATGTATCTTAGTCTTCTAAATATTTATCATTTTGATTAAGATCTTATCTTTTTGTTGTTCATAGAAATACTCTTAAAGAAGCATTTTTAAATAAGTTTATATGAAAGAAAGACTTTTTAGTAAATGTAAAAGACAAAAGTTTGTGAACTGCCTTCAAGTTAGAATTACTTGTTCTTTATATGTAATTAGTAAAAACAGTTATTTGAAATGAGGTTTAAATACAAATTTATGTTTTTATTTTCTATTAAAAGTATTTTTATTTAAGTATTTTATACCCAGCATTATTTGTTAGTTTTGCACCTTTATTTTTTTAAATAATTTTTGTTTTGTTATATTTTTATGTTATTTTTATTTTTCATTAAGTATCAATTTAATTTAAGTTTAAATTGAATTTCATTAACATATAATGAACAATTACTTTAAAACTAATTGACATAAAAAAAAAAGACAACTTCACAACAAAAGTGAAGAATTTTATCAAAATTGAAGGGTTTTTTTTGTAAAATTGTTATTTGAATCTAATGTGAAAAACTTTAGATACATATAAGGCAACTTTTCTATATATGTAATTTTTTTTGCAATTTAGTTATTTCATATCACTCTTTATAGTAATTTTTATTTCCAAAGATAATAGTTTTGAAATAGGACTTGTTACTATTCTGAAAAAAATTAACCAATAGCTAGAAAATGTATAGCAAATTAGTATTGAATGTAGAACCAAAATTGTTATGAATATAAATGGTATTAGGTTTTTATTGAAAGATCTAGAAAGTACTAATTATAAAATTTGACCTCATATTAATAAACTTGTATATCTTATAATGTGAATCATGTGACATATAAACATTAAGTTATAAGTTGTTTTCTAGAATCTCATTTAGATTTTTAGTTGTAATAGATATTTTTAGAAAATAAGTTGAATGATCATTTTATGATATAATTCATGCTACTTTTTTTGCTAAGTGCAATATGGATATGATCAAATTACATTGTATAAATATATGATATTGTCCATCTTATTTTTGCTCACTTTATTCTTTTGAATCTACTTACACCTTGCTAATAAACATGTTTCGGTTTGAATCATTTTATTTTTTTAATACACAAATGTATACATACTTTAAATGTGTTCAATCTTGTCCAGTTTTCCATGCCAACATAAATGCCTTTTGTTGTCATGAACAATGACAAAAAAATATTTTTTCTGGACTAAAGCATTAGAAATGAGATCTAGCCTTTCTAGACTAAAGCATTAGAAGAGAGATAAAAAAATCATCTTCTTTCAGTTGCTAGTGCATTGTGAAAGTATTTCACTTTTAAAAGTTGGATATAGCTATTAATCAAGTAATGATAAACTGTTTAAAACAGCATTAACATGCTGCTTTGAAATGACTATTTAGTATATTTTTTTCACTGCTAAGTTATGGCTTTCATTTTTTAAGGTTGTTTTTTGGTAGTATATGTGGTATCTTATGGTTGTTACTTTATTTATAATGTTTATATAAAGTGGTGCTTTAAATGTTGTTGTCACAAATAACATTATTTTCTATACATACTTAATTCATCAGTCACTAACATTTTGAAAGATAGTTATCAATTGTGAAAAGGTAGCTTAAAATGTCAGCATTGCCAGGCCCTGAAAAGATATTTTTAAAACCAAAAGACATGTATTTTTCTTTTTTCAATTTTAAGAAAATTTTATTTTTGATTCAGCAAATGAAAATGTTTATAAATCTTTTTATCAAAGCTGAATATTGCAATTAAAATGCATGATTTAAATTTAACAATACAATAACTTTCTTACAACAACAAAGAAATACTTTTGGTTTGATCGTTTTAAAAGAGCTGACATTTTTAGTTTAAGGGCATTTGACATCCGTTTATGAAAACAATACTTTAAGAATTTAGTCATTATAGTTCTGAGTGGAAAAATAAAAAATTGTTATTTTTGTGTGCTCAATGAAATTAATGTGATGTAACAGTAATACAAGCATACTAAAGAAAACATTTTGAAAGATGATTTATAATAGTCATGGTTATAAATACTCTACTGTATTTGTCACAAAGTAAACAAAATTATCATATTGTCTCTTTTTCATGTTTTTATGCCCCCGCCGTAGCAGTGGGGCCATTAAGTTTTACCCTTGTCTGTCTGTACGTATGTCCCAAAATTGGTTTCCGTTCTCTAACTTGAGTTTGCCTCGACCAAATGTTATGAAACTTATACACAATGCTTATTACCACAAAACACAGATCAAGTTTGAATTTTGGTGGCGTCACTTCAACAGATCTAGAGTTATGCCCCTTTATAAATGAAAAAATTGCAAAATTTTTAGTTTCCGTTCTCTAACTTAAGTTTGCCTCAACCAAATGTTATGAAACTTATACACAATGCTTATTACCACAAAACACAGATCACGTTTGAATTTTGGTGGCGTCACTTTAACTGTTCTAGAGTTATGCCCCTTTATAAATGGAAAAATCGCAAAATTTTTAGTTTCCGTTCTCTAACTTAAGTTTGCCTCAACCAAATGTTATGAAACATATACACAATGCTTATTACCACAAAACACAGATGAAGTTATAATTTTGGTGGTGTCACTTTAACCATTCTAGAGTTATGCCCCTTTATAAATGGAAAAATTGCAAAATTTTTATTTTCTTCTTTATATCAAGTAATTTCTAAAATTGGAGTTATCTTCCTTTGTCCATGATTATAGTTGAATCAACTACAATCAATGCTTTATACAATGCAATGTTAATTTTGACTTCCACTGATAAAACACAGATCAAGTTGAATTTGGGTAGTGTCACTTTAACCATTATTGAGTTATGCCCCTTTATAAATCGAAAGATTGCAAAATTTTTAGTTTCCATTCTGTAACTTTAGTTTGCCCCTACCAAACATTATGAAACCTATACACAATATTCATTACCACAAAACTAAGATCAAGTACAAATTTTTTGTTTCCGTTTTCTATCTTTAGTTTTCCTCAACCAAATGTTATGAAACTTATACACAATGCTAATTACTACATAATACAGATTAAGTACGAAATTTGGTGGCGACACTTTTACCATTCTTGAGTTATGTCCCTTTATAAACATAAAGATTGCTGAATTTTTCGTTTCCATTCTCTTACTTTAGTTTGTCTCAACCAAATGTTATAAAACTTATACACAACCGTTCTAGAGTTATGTGTGTTTACAAATAGAAAAAATGATGAATTTTTAGTTTCTGTTCTCTACTTAAGTTAGCCTCAACCAAATGTTATGAGGCTTATACACAATGCTTATTACCACAAAACTCAGATCAAGTTCAAATTTGGGTAGCGTCACTTTTACCGTTCTTCAGTTATGTCCCGTTATAACTATATGCTATTCAAGCGGGGCATCATCTGTGTCCACATGTGGACACTATCCACATTTATTTAAGACCTGCCATAGACATTTCAAATCAGTCCCTGAGTGTACCATCTGCACATGCTTCAGCACTGGCATGAATCAATGATATATTTTGTCTGTCATTTTTCGTTCATGAAATTGCATAATTGTGCAAAAGGTTAAGTTATCATACTCTCCAACAAGGTGGTTCTTCGATGATTTTGGCTGTTCTGTTTTTTAAACTCTCCATATGGTCAGGGTTTGTCTAGCCTCAACAAAGTCACTGATGGGAGACTTGGGTGTGCTGATACATTGGCGTCGATAATTGTTTTAGTTTGTCTTTAGGTCACCCTTATAGGAAGTCAATGATATTTGGTAGGCAGTCGTAGTCGTATAATCTTTGACACATCTCCATTGAGATTATTTGTCCCTATTCTTGAAGTCTTTCTTTTCCCAGAATATTTTTAAAGTATTTGCAACTGGACATTTAGAAACTACTATCAATCAAAGACTTTTCAAATTTGTTCAGTCATAATCAGTAAGGCAATGGAGACATCTAGCTAGCAGCAAAAAGAAAACCAACATGACCTACCTTTGATGTTTTAAGTACCATACTGCCTTAGATGCACCAAGATGCAGGTCAAATAAAATTACCCATGTCTGTCTGTCCACCCACACTCCAAGTTTTTAATTTAGGTTCATTTATCAGAAACATACCGTTATAATATCAATTGTACTTCACTCCATTACAGTCCTTTTTTATGCTCCCGCCAAAGCATTAAGTGTTACTCTTGTTTGTTTGTCTGTACATCCGTCTGTACTGCCCCTGCCACAACATTAGGGTTTACCCTTGTCCGTCTGTAGTATCAAAATTAGTTTCTGTTCTTGAACTTTAGTTTGCCTCAACCAAATGTAAAGTTTTTGATTTCAATTAATCTTTCATAGAATTATTGGTATAAGAAAGAATAAGAATGCTGATTTTAACTCCATTTTCATATATATTTGTTTTATGTACGTTGTATGTTATAATACGACCTCGGCCAACAATCATTAGACGTAATTCAAAATTGTAAATATACCCGATCATCTCACTATTGATTTTTTAATACACTTGACATAACGCATAACAGATGTATAGTTATATGCAGATGTAAAGTCATTTTTTTACACGAAATTATCGCAATATAAACATATAGTGGCGATTACCCTTCTAATGACAATCAAAAACTTTTAAAGCCAATTATATATTCTAGAGTTATCCCCCTTGGCAAATACTGAATTTTTCTGAGTTATGTCCTTTTATAACATTATATGCAAACAGGGGCATGATCCCATGGACACATTCTCCATTTATTGTATTAAAAAACTTTCCCAACATCATCTTTGTAACTATAATTTACATTTCCTAGAAAGACTTCAGTTTTGTTTCGCTTTTAGTTTCATTTCTCATGAACTTGTGGAAAAAATGAAAACAATACGTTATAAATTTCATGCATCCCAAGTGGTGGAAATATATCATTGGTGGTGATGATGGATTTACTTTTAATGTCTAGTTGCAAATATTTCATGAATATCAGGATGATTTTAAATCTGATATGAAATGAACTCTGCCTGTACTAGACGTGACACATTGAGCCCGATGATGAATGTGATGGTTCATTATGAGTGGGAAATACCAGCATCTGCCCGGTGTTTATAAAAAATGATAGATTTATCGCAAGTAGTTATAGACCGGTTTCGCTCGCATGTATTTCCTGCAAACTATTGGAACTTATCATTTGCTAGACATCACGCCTTCAAGAATCATCATATCTATAGCTTGGAAACTCGACTTGAAATGTCATTCATGGCTGGGCAAGCTCCAACGACAACCGGCTACAAATCAAGAACTTCATTTTCATGACCTACTGAAAAGCAACCTACAGATACGGAATACCAAGTAACACAATGCCTGTTCCTCGTCCATATTATAGTAACTACATGGCATATATGTGACATCGGTAATCTGGCTATATACAGAGAAATGCGATTGCTACAGGTAAATAAACAACGTCAGACTGCTTGAAGGTACAACAAAATAAACACCTCAAGTAAATTGGCTGAAACTTGGAGAATGCGTTTCCCGCACTTGTCAAATGTAACATGGTGATCCAAAGCTGCAAAAGATTACCACAATATTTAAGTTTACTCTAAAACGCACTGAACTGAAATTCTTAAAATCAATAAAATGGAGTGAGCTTCACCAACGATTTACATATGGGAAAACACATTAAGGATAAATGCATTAAATCTTGTAGAACCTTGGATTATTAAAACGAAATGTGCCATCATGCCATATAGAGGCAAAATTACAGGCGTACAAAGTACTCATTCGACATGTCCTCGAATATGCGTACAGAACCTTCATCATAAATATAATATACATGTACAAGACAAACTAAAAAAACGTCCAGAAAAGAGCAGATAGATTCATAACATTTAACTACAGTAAGTAATTACGAACCAGGTAGTTTGACTTCAATCCAGATCAAGATCAAATTATGAACATGTAAATGTTCTTTGAAAAAAGAATAGAATGATTTCATTTTGTAAATGTGCACACCATCTAGCCGAAATGCCAACAGAAAATCTGCAACGACCACAAAGAACATGCATAGCCAACGCTGTCTCAGAATTCCAACCAACCATTTCTCTTTTGTATTGTTTCAAATTTTGTCATGCGGCCTTTTATACTTAATTACACAGTATGGTTTTTTTTTTCTCATTGTTGAAGGCCGTATGTTGACCTTTAGTTGTTTACGTCCTCGTCGTTTGGTCTCTAGTACTAGTAGATAGTTGTCGCATAGGCAATCATACCACATCTATTTATTTTTATATTGCCATAGAGTGGCCCTTATTTAAGCAAGGAGGTATTTACAGTTTTAAATTTTATCTCACTATAAAGTATGGAAGTCTATTTTTGCCATCGAGATAAATTTGAGTTTACATAATTCATCTCGATAAGTCAACATGAAATAGGTATTTTGACGACTTATACTGATTTTATCTTGACAAGTCATGAAATCTTCTCACAATTTATCTAGATAATTTTTTTTAACTGGTCAAGATAATTTTACGGTTATCGTGTTTTTGTCGAGCCTTCGACTTTTGTCGAAAAAGCGAGACATAGCGATCCTACATTCCGTCGGCGTCGTCGTCGTCGTCGTCGTCGGCGGCGTCCACAAATATTCACTCTGTGGTTAAAGTTTTTGAAATTTTAATAACTTTCTTAAACTATCCTGGATGTCTACCAAACTTGGACTATGATCATAAGATAATATTCAAAAGTAAATTTTGTAAAAAAAAAATTCCATTTTTTCCGTATTTTACTTATAAATGGACTTAGTTTTTCTGCCAGTTAACATAACATTCACTCTGTGGTTAAAGTTTTTAAAATTTTAACAACTTTCTTAAACTATCCTGGATTTGTACCAAACTTGGACAGAAGCTTGTTTATGATTAAAAGCTAGTATCTAGAAGGAAACTTTGTTAAAATTTTGTTCCATTTTTTCTGTATTTTACTTATAAATGGACTTAGTTTTTCTTCCAGTTAACATTACATACAGTCTGCAGTTTAAGTTTTAAAACATTTATTAGATTCATAAACTATCTTGGATTTTACCAAACTTGGACAGAAGCTACTTACAATCAAAAGATAGTATAGAGAGGAATATTTTTATTAACTTTTTTTCTCATTTTTTTTTGAGCCTGTGATTAACAGCAAAAGTAGGCGAGACACTGGGTTCCGCGGAACCCTTACGAATTTTTCTTATGCCAATGCCAATTTGTAGCATCGACATAAAGAATAGTCATGATAGAAGTTTAATGTTTTTAAACAAATAGAACGACCTTGACGCCAATTTTTGAGAAAAACTCGAGATATTATCGCAACAATTCACGATATTTTATCTTATCACTCCAAATAACTAAAATATCGTGAATTGTTGAGATAATATCTCGAGTTTTCTAGAAAATTAGCGTCTAAGTCGTTCTATTTGTTTAAATACATTGAACTTCTATCACGACTTATCTTTATGTCTATGCTACAAATTGGCATCGGCATAAAAAATCACGATAACTGTATAATTATCTTGACAAATTATCTAGATAAATTGTGAAAAAGTTTTATGACTTGTCGAAATAAAATCCTGATAAGTCGTCAAAATACCTGATTTATGTTGACTTAACGAGATAATTCATGTCAACTCAGATTTATCTCGATGGCAGAAATAGGCCACCATAATAAAGTGAGAAAATGTCATGCACTTAATCCCCATGGAGGTAGGTATAAGTTTATATGGTTATCTAATTTTTCTTTCTTTGTTGCTAACTACCAGCACAGAAAAACTATGGCAAATGTGGTTTACTTGTAGTTTATTTGTTCTCTAACGATTTTATAACACTTGAAAACACATGAATTAAGCGGTTGATTTATTCCTTCTTATTTTATAAGTATTACAGTAATGAGTTTATAGAGCACTATATTAATAGTACATTATACCGGTACCATGAGTTTATAGAGCACTATATTAATAGTATATTAAACCAATTACTCATTCACTTGTATAGCAACAGTTACATGTTTTGTAAGAATCAAGAATGAAGCATGTCTCCACACCTTTGTGGTTTTTGGTCACCAGTGTTATGGTTAAAATCCTTACATCTTGAAAAACAAATGAAATACTGTGCGATGAGATTATTCAATACCAATCTAATGGACCATAAGTTACAGTTCTTCTCAATTAAGTGAAACCTCAGAACACTGTTTGGTAAAACACAATTGCATCCTTTAAATCCAATCACAAGGCAATATTTTATGGCCAGTTCACATAAGTAACACATCAATAGCTTTCAAATTATGATTGAAAAATAAGAACGCAAGCCTAGTCATATTGACATAACATTGTTAAAAACAAATGAAATGCACTCACAAATACTTAAAGCAATGATATGCTAGATAACTCTGATCATTTGGCTGCATATTATACTGGGTTTTATGGTTTAACAAAGTTTTAAAGATTTACGTGTTCAAGATTCAGTTCTTTCAAATCTTCTAGTTAGATATATATACAACTATTTTTGTTTTGCATTCACGTAACTTTTATATCTGTATCGAGTGTGCATGATTGTAATGTAAGTTTTGTAATAAAACTGCAAACAAATGTCTGTGTATCACAATAAAGCTTTTAAAGTCTGGTGGTTTTGCTGACCTATTTGTAAAATTTGGTTTCCGATTCCGAAATGTCTTTGAACAAATCTTGTACATCATTCAAGTTACTTTCACTGAAATTCTGAAGAAATTCTTGCATTTCAGTAATACAATTTTGTTCTAACTGTTGCATTGTCGAAAGCAACCTTTGGCCTTTTGGATCATCACTTTCCATAAGCGGTCTTGCTTTTTCGTGTGCAATGAACAAAGGGTGTCGTCTATCGGCGTTCGTCTGGAAACTAGCACGTGCTCTCTCTCCAGTAGAGGGAGAACGTGTTACTTCACCGATATCAACGGAAGAACAAAATATGAAAGGTTTGAAGACGGACAGCGACGGATTTGGAGTAGCAGTGAACCAATGGCAATGTGGAATGTTGACATCTAGCGACAATACAGAAATCTGGCTCCCAACAGTATACAACTCTCCCATAAAATTTATACTGCTCCCTTCATCACGTAAAATTTCCCGCATGCATTCCATATTGAAAGAACCTGACAACAGATACAATGTTAAAATTTAAGTGCATATCATAATCATTTTAAAATGTAATGCTTACTTTCAATATTATATATTTTCGAGCAGTTCAATAGAACACATAACATATATGTTTATATTATTTTGATTTTAACAAGTACTTGAAAAATTGGACAGGCTAAAATAAAACGAATAACAATGCGAACAGAACATACGAAAATGGTTTTAAGATCAGTAAGCACCTACGTATAAATGAAAACCACAAATTAAACATGAATTTTGATTATAACTTTTCATCGAAACTATTACAGGGCATTGAATATAAGAGAAAACTTCAATGTTCAAAACAATAATATCCAACAGATGTGGATCCGATATTTGATTTTAAGCTGTTGGGAGTGACCTACAGATTTGAATGGGTTTAAATTATTTTTTTATTTGGTAAGGGATCTTCTGCCAACTCATGGAAATGCATGACCCTCACTTACGTCTCTTAAAATACGCTTAAATTCTTATATATTACTTACCGTCTTTTGACATATTTGTCATTAATTTTGCTCCCTCAGCTTGTCTATGCTGTGGCTTTTGTATGTCTGTTAGTGATAAGCCATCAAATTCCGCAGAAAATGCTTGACTAAAATTGAAACTACCATTTCCAGACTTCCAATGTCCTGCCTCCGTAGCCTTTTCAACTAACCCAGGTGACAGTTCATCATAGTCGTCTGTTATCCTCAGACAGCTAGAGACATTGAAGTGTCCATCTAAAAAGTGATAAAAAAAAAGGTTTAAATTTGAACTTAAAACAAGGCCAAATACTGTAGAGAATAAAACAGCGAATAGAAGAAAGAAAGCATAATATACAGAAAGCTCTATCGATGACTATTACAATACTGTCAATATAGTAGTCATTGGTTCTAATAAAATATTTCGATACAGAAATCGAAAAGAAACTTGTTGAATTTGTGAAAATACTAAAACCCACATGTATTCATAAACAACCAATCGCAACGTCTTTCAGACGGTGCCACGTGTATTTATAAACAATCAATCACAACGTCTTTCAGGCGGTGCCACATGTATCTATCCAAAGTGATAAAATGCAACTGGTACACTATTCGTGAAAATACTCTTTATTAATCAAAGATCAGGTGAAAACATTGATACATGCCAGATATATGTTTTGCAGCCCAAAATTCACCAGCTGTCTCTAATAACCATGCTTCTTTTGGATCAACAAATATAAAGGAAGTATTATAGGACCACTGTCCGAAACTATGGTCCTGACTTGTGAGTCCACATTGACCATGTTTGTCCAGTAGTTCAGTGATTGTGGCAAGGGCCTCTTTTGAAGTACTACAACGTTCTAAACCAAGCCTAGAAAGAAGAGAATGGTCATCCATTACTTGGTATTTCTATTTAAAATATTTTACCTAAGAGTATTTAAACTTGCATTGTCACTGTCGCATTGTGTTTTTTGTTGTTGTTTGTTGTTAATTTGTTTTGTATTGTTGTTAATGTTAATTTGTTTTTGTATTGTTGTTGTAGTTCCTTTGTGTTGTTTTTGTTTTTTTTCTCCATTTGTTTTGTTGTTTTGTTTTTGTCTTTGTCTTGTCTTGTCTTTGTTTTGTTTTTTGTTTTGTTTTGTTTTTTGTTTTGTTTTGTTTTGTTTTGTTTTGTTTTGTTTTGTTTTGTTTTGTTTTGTTTTTGGAGGTATGTTGCTGCAAATGAATCTTCTCAGTTGTAATTACAGAACATTCTCCTGCTTTAAACACGAATATTTTGTTTTGTAATTTATATTTGCTCGTATCACATTCAACTATTGAACATCTTATCACTAGTCGTGTAAGAAAAAGAGTAAAGAGTAAGATCTGATGCCAAATCCACCCAGTAGTTATGTTTAACAAATGACTTATAGATATAGATAAATGTGATAAACAACATCTTATCAAACCTATAAAGTTCAGTCATTCAGTAACATATTTATCAAATCAAAAGTTATAAATACAACTGTTTTCAAAATCTTGTTAGAATTATGTAATTTCATAGCACTGAAAATTGATTTACGAACACATCTATCTTTATATCTCATTAAAACGAACAAACTTTAGTAATATGATTCTTAATTCACTGTTATCTCATTTTTATTCAATTTGAAAGAAGAGAATAAGATTCATTACACGCTAGCTTGGAAAAAAATCAAAGTGATGTTTTAAAAACACCAGCTTGTAGCAAATCTCACATTCAAGAATAGCGCAATAAATGTGAAGTACCTGACATAATCAACACCCATGAGTTTTGCGCTGTGATCCCCTGGATGACACAATTTGGTCCACACAGCGGTACATCCAATACAAAGTCCTTTGTCATTAGCTCCCATTTCAGCACCCCAGGTCCAAGCTGACTTACTAAGCACCACAGCATGAGTGGATGGTACTTGATCAATTTCTACCAAGGTACACTGTCATATAAAAATATTAAAGATCCCGATGTATTGGTGTCAAATTATTTAGATACATTTTTTAAAATACACATCTTCCACCAATTAATTTACCCTAATCACTTTATAAATTATTTACCGTTGTTCGGCCAACTTATTTTAGCATCTAACTTTAATTAGCTAAAAACATCTGTCAACGTATTATCACGAGAAAATTGTTTTTGAAATATGTGCTTTGTAAACAGATTTGTATAAATAGATAAGAAAATAAAAGAAATACTACAATCTTGATATTTCATCACAATACTATGATGGACAGGTCTGGATTGCGTTAACAGAATGTAAAATAAAGGGCTAACAATTAAGAATGGATAAAAGTTGGCCAAAACAAAAGAAAAGAGAAAAATGGGGGTGATAAAGTATAAAGAATAGAGAAAATTAGAAACCAAATTGTAAAAGAATAGAGAACAATGGACCAAAAGAAAAGGTAATAAACAAATAGTTTAAAAAATTAAAGAGTACAGAAATAATGAAAACCCTCCCATCATGATCTTCTACTACTATAACCACCACATATAGTCGGTCTTGCTATAATAGAACACAAAAAATGCATGACTGAACGCTACGGCTGTTTAGTTAGTATTAAAGCATGCCAATAACTTACCATGACTTTAGACTCTGGTGCATGATCCTTTGCTGGAAAATAAACAACCTCTTGTACCTCAGTCGTCGGACGATCAGAATTTTTACCAAATATTACACATCCTGTCGTTGACGGTGGGTATGCCACAAAGACATCAGACATTCTATAATTCAGTAAAATGTTTTAGATAAGACAAGCAGTAGATACATACAATAGAAAAACACACACAGAGAGAGAAGACAATGATATTTACGCTGCAGGAACTAGAATCTTAAGCACTGGTCAGTAACTGTCCGAAGATCGTTTATCAGTTACATTTGTTCTTTCATCAACATTTTGTTATTTGTGCAGATGACGAACCAAATTAGATTCAATTGTTAATACAATTCATTTCACTAATAACATTTCAAATACTTACACTGTTAAAATAGCAAAAGGTTTAAGACAATAAGAGCACATTGCACACGGTTGCATCAGCAAGAAACAATAGCTTCAATAGACAAGCCAAGAACGCTAAACATAGTTGGTCCAGATAACTCTACTTGGTTAATATATGTTCTTGTTATGAATATATGTGCATATATCTCCTAACTCAAATCTTTTAGATTATTTTATCAAGCTTCAAAAGGGATTATTTAAGACGAGTGGTTTTTATAAAAAACAAACCAAACATTAGTACAGTAAAACTTCTTCTATTCAGCAACACATAATGAATTTTGAACCATCCAAGTATGTTTTATCGTCATTAACAGAATTAATTGATTTGTACATTTTATGGTATATTTGCCATTTGAAGTTGGTCTTCGGTATGTTGATTAAGTAAAACCACCAAACTTAGAATTGCTATGATTAAAATCTTTTCGTTATAATGCCGCGGCACATATCTGAATTCAACTGTCGTAAGAAGCATAGTTGGAACATTTTTTTTTAAACGAGCTCCTTGCAATTGTTTTTTTGGTGAAAATGTCACCTCTCTGAAGCGACAATGCATCGTATCTTCCTATCATTTCAATGTCAATTGGATGTCCTACCATATAACCTGGAGATAGTTTTGTATGTCCTACCATATAACCTGGAGATAGTTTTGTATGTCCTACCATATAACCTGGAGATAGTTTTGTATGTCCTACCATATAACCTGGAGATAGTTTTGTATGTCCTACCATATAACCTGGAGATAGTTTTGTATGTCCTACCATATAACCTGGAGATAGTTTTGTATGTCCTACCATATAACCTGGAGATAGTTTACTTAAATATAAATAATAAGATGTGGTATAAGTGCCAATGAGACAACTATCCATCCAAGTCACAATGTGTAAAAAGTAAACAATTATTATAGGTTAAATGCCTTTTAATCTATTTTCACATCATTTAAATTATTATTTAGTTGGAGAATTTCTAGGAGTTTTAAAACTTGTTTGTATCATCACGATTCCTTGGTCTTTAATCAAACAACTGACTCTTTGTATCATCATTGCTATATAACGAATTCAGCATTTTTCTCAGAAAGTACAAACAAAACAATTGTTTTTTTTTCCTTTCTTCTCCCATTCAATGAACATAAGAATAGGTCATTACAGACAGATCATTATTATACAGCTGATACAATCACTTAGATTGCATAGTTATTTATATGGAAGACATTGATTTCTGACATTCCTATAGCGTTTTCATGTCAACGAAATACATTAAACATCAGAAATGTTAAGTATTGATTTTCTATACATGTATACACGCAGCTGACTTAGCTCTAAAACTATTTGAACATTAAATCTTTAAGTGAGCTTCTGACTTCAATGTTAATGAGCATTTGAAAGTTCATTTAAGCTTGTTTAACACTGAGCTACACATATATCGATCATATCGAGTATGACCATTGATTGGAACATTTTGAAATTTTCCTAAACCACGACTTTTAAAGCACAAGAAATGGGAACCACTGAATAGAAATGAAAATACAGAACACGTCGCTTTCGCATTTCACTGTAGTGTACTTCATATTCCTCAAATGATTACGCAAATTGACAGTGATATATATAAGTTATGAATGGCCTTTCCTTACGCTCTTTCCTCTTACAAGACGAATTCACACAAACACGAAAAATTAAAAGTATACTCCATTGATATTGATAATGTCAAGAATAAAATTGTCTTACCTGAGTTAATAATTCTGTATCTATATTTCCTTTACAAAGAATCTGCTGTCACATCGCATTGATGGCGACGACTGCGCAGATGAAAAAATCGATGTTGTCTAGTGATGTATCCTTGTAATGCGTGTATACTGGTTTCCACTGAGGAAGATGTGGGATGTATGCCAAACCTCGTCAAAAATTAAACAATTAATGTTTTTGCAATCTTCTATCGAATTATTTATTAACTTTAAGATAACAAGCACAAATTAATGCCAGTTTTTATTTATAGACCTTTCGAACTCATCGCTTTTTATTAATGTACATCAAGTTCAGTTATAATAAATAGAAGATGTTCCTTTATATATATATAATATATATAAAAGTCTATAAAAAGGACCAACCAGCAAATTTACTATGTACCGGATCGTCTAGAATAGACGATACTGTTCAGATAAGGAAAACAATGTATAAGTCTAGAGATTTGCACAACGATACTCATATAAGATGGTATTATACGAAGATGTTGTTATTAAATCGTGTTGACAAATATTTCGGCTTAACAAATAGCCTTCTTCAGTGTCAATAATTTTAAAATTATTGACACTGAAGAAGGCTATTTAAAATTATTGACACTGAAGAAGGCTATTTAAAATTATTGACACTGAAGAAGGCTATTTGTTAAGCCGAAATATTTGTCAACAAATAATAAATACGGAATAAAAAATAAATCCAGTTTAGAAAAAATTAATTAAGATTAAGAGTGTTGCTCAATGTTGGTAATTTCACTGATCTTTGTTTGTTTTTCTTTTTTTTCTTTTATGCTCGTGGGATTTTCTGTGTTTCATTTTGATTGCTCCTTGGTATCTTCTTATTTTCAAGCACTTGTACTAAAAAGAAAGAATCTATGGTAATATTTTTTTTCAAAATAAATGCAATTAAGAATTGATGAAAACCGAGACTAGAGCACGATTTAAAATTACATGGATACATGTTAAGACTGTTTATTCTGTTCAAAAACCTATCTGTAGCAGTTTCCAAATGCTTGAAATCTCCTTGATTAACAATTACTAGCCTGAAGATAAATTAAAAAAGGTTTAATCTACGAATGTATTTCAAAAGATATTTTCTACTAGAAAAGGAAATTACGATACATGCATTATTGTGTGTGTCTCTCTCTCTCTCATTCGGTGTACAGTAACCTGATAAATAGCCTCATACGATACCCTATGTGTCTGTATTTCTCATAATATCAATTGCTTGATAAGGATATTGATGGTGCTTTTCATAACCAAACATATATAACAGTTCTTAATAAAACATAGTCATAGGTGTATACTAGATTCCTTTGGGGGTTTAAACCAAAGGAGAACTTGATCTTCCTTCGGTTTAAAGGATAAACAATTTTATAAATCCAAACATCTTTACAAACAATGTTGCTGGAGTTGCCAAATGCTCCACAAAACCAAATTACTAACATGATATTCTACAGTAACAACACTCATCAAAACTATGCACCAGGGATGCTGTGAAACTAACTACTTCCTACTTAAGGGCGGAGTGATCCAGATGTAAGTACAATAAAAAAAACCTCCAAAGACCTGTTCGAGTACATATAATATAAGCCATCTCCTCGTGCACTAATATAAAACATTTGACTTCTTCACTTTTAATAAACGTATTCCTAATTCTAAATAATATAAGACGGAGTGAACAAGGTTGTCCAACTTTATTGTTTCATTACAAAGAATGACCTAAGTAGATACAAATATACGGTTTTAGGAAGGGACAAAGTATACTTGTTTTGTTTGGTAAACGTGTTTTTTAACAAACAGTCGTTAATTCATCTCTTTAGATGATTGTGGTAGGGTGCTATATCAGCAAAAGTCATAAAATTTATACAACTCATGTTAAAATTTAGATTACCTAATGATTTAAAAGCTGCTAAGATATATCCATTTTTAAGAAAGATTACTCAACTATAGAGCTGTAACTGTAAGTATATATTATAACGCATTGCATTTTCTAAGTTTGTGGAAGAGATGTACAAAATCTGATTAAAATTCAGATCTGTCTTAACTCACGTGCTCGTATATATGGATAACGATAGCAAAGATCTATATTTTTATTAGATTGAGATATACATAATCAGTTAATGAAATTAAGGTTCATGTACAAAATCGTTATGTTATGTTGACTTTAGAAGCTCCCTGATACTTTGTGGCATCATGGTTAAAGAACCCGGTTTTGCTTGCTGAACAATTCGGACCTGAAATCCTTGTTTTCCTTCAAGAATATCACGCTCTTTCTCCCAGCTAAACAATGCACCATCAGTTGTATTTAGGAATGGATTAATTTCAATAACCCATAATTTATCTAGGGCTCCCTTTTTACCTGCAAAAAAGGAAAATACTATTGCATATACAAATATAGTTAGTATACTATAGAATAATCATGATTGAAAATCTAGAATGCATTGTAAGAGGTGTACATGGAAGGATCTACCATGAGTTTCTATTGATGGATAACAAACGAAAATGTAATGTAAAGTATGAAGTTCAATGTTGGGCTCACCTTTCAAGGTCAAATTCTCAATAACAACATTCCGTCATAAACAATTCGATATATATGAAAAAAATAACACTCCTAGTTCACTCATAAAAATCTAGGAAACACCATTAACGTACAATGCTTTTGAAAAAGTTGCCACTTTTAATATCGATTATACTGAAATGTTTTAAGTCTTTATATTGCGCTTACCATATACGCTTCTTCATTAGGGTGCCCTCTAAGTTCGCCACTGAACACACAAATTACTTCATTCATCTTCTAAGCTAGTATTATATACATAGTTTCTAGCTGTGATGCTTATACATTGTAAAAACCTTCGTCGAGCAATGAAAGATAAATTGTTTGTACACTTTGGTTATATGAATCTTTTTATAAGGTATACAGTTAACTCAAGGATGAAGACTTTGAAGCAATTACATGGCTGTCGAGCATACGATACATTGGGTATATTCTGAGTGTTGCATGGGATTGTTGACTCCCGTACATCTTATTCATATCCCTTTTTCAAACATTAAACTGGCTTCATATAAGCCTTCTATCGTTTTTCATGGACTTCAAAGGCAAAATAATGTGGTATTTGGACATGGTATAAAATGGTAAATTAGTTAAATTGTCTAAACGTTACTAAATGTCTCTAAAAGGACCATAGGCAATTGTCTCTGGAATTTGTTTTCACCTCTATACCGTTATATAACATAGTAGTATTCTGTACCCATGTCATTTTGTCTATGGTCGGTCTCATGGGGCAATCATGCCACATCTCCTTATTTTCATATTTAAACGATAAATTGATGGCCAAGTACTTAAAAAACGTCCCTGAAGGATCCTGAAGTAAGCCAGAAACAAACGATACTTTTGCTCTTATCACTTGATATTACTTGGCATGTTAATAAATGAACTTACCTGTCGATGAACTAAAAAAATATTATAATACTATAGTAGCTGTTATTAGACGATATTGGTCAGAAAATTACCAGACGGTTGACTGTACCTACCACTACTAGTAACAGCAAAATCTATCACAAAATTCTGAAGGAAATATTTTCCAGCTTTTAATCTTGGTTTCACAACTGAATTGAAGAATTCTCTAATTTTACAGGAAATTTCCTCTTTTTTGTCGTTCAGCCGTTTTGAAAATAACAAATAATTATACTGCGACAATGCATTTAACTCTCCGTCAAAAACAAATCCTCGAAATTCCATATCAACATCGATGTCAACGAACTCTCTTATTATAAAGTTTTCGTTAAAATTGTCTTTGTGCTTAACTGCAAGTAACAAGTCTTGGAATACCCGTTCACTCCTAATAAACATATCAATCACATCGAAGGACATCTTCACGCGAAGTGCATCAAAACCTGCCTGCAAGAGACACATGATTTTAACATTTTCATTTCCCTTTTCAGACTCTTCAACAGCTGACAATCTGTTGATATATAAAGATTTAAATCTTTTTTGAATTAATGGTGCATCTTTAGCACTTCTGGAAGACAATTTTACGAAAGCGTAGCCTTTTGTCGTGTAAATCGACATTGCCTTTTCCAAGCGTTCGCTTATTGTGTTAACGTGTCTTTTCTCTTCATCCTTCAGATGAGTCTGCCAGTCAAGATCTATGGATTCGCTTGAGTCCTTGTTCTCATATAACCTGCAGATTAATATGAGATTCACTGAATACCAGATGAAATATAATTCATGTTTTTTTATGTAAAGTGGGAAATAGTTTAGCTTATATTTAAGACGATATATAACGAATAATATAAAAAAATAAGTAGGCTCGGAGGCGTGGGTCGACCAGGATGGAGGACTGAAAATGTACATTTCCATTAGGAAAAGAAGTTGTATTGGTTAGTTAGGGGCCGAAATTTTGCATTGAAACTGATGACCTTCTAATCCATCCTTTTTTTTTACATTTATTGTAAAGGTTCTTTCTACTACCTTTATCCTATTTCAGACTTCCGAAGAATTTAAATTCGGACCGGTTATATATTTACATTTAGTACATTATTACAAATGATGTTCGGTTTCTTTTACCATGTTTGATTGCACATTTCACATTTCAAAGAATTTTATAAAATTCTCGCTTCCAAAGGTTTGTGCAGCAATTGTTTTCATCATGGTGGGGGTTCGTGTTGCTCAGTCTTTAGTTTTCTATGTTGTGTTTGTCTTTTGGTCGTTTTTCGTTTTTTGGGGTTTTTTTTGCCAAGACTTTGTCAGTTTGTTTTCGACTTAAGAGTTTGAATGTCCCTTTGGTATCTTTCGCCTCTCTTTTACAGAGATTTAAATGTAGGTTGAAAAAATCCATTCAATTACATTTATCAAAGTAAGTAGGAATGACGGTAGTTTTTCTCGCACATTTATTAATCTTATTAAAATATAGATTTTTGATATATCTGATTTCGTTATGTTCAGTTTTTCGACGAGTAAGTGAGTTACGATAGATCTTCATTTTAATCAAATTGGCACATTTCCCGACACAATTCGGTGATTTTGGGGGAATTAAAACTATATAGATATCTAGAAAGCTATTCCATAATATTGAGAATGGTCTTGGAAATGGGGAATGTGTCAAAGAGACAACAACCCGACCAAAGAGCAGAAAACAGCCAAAGGCCACCAATGGGTCTTCAACACAGCGAGAAAATCCCGCACCCGGAGGCGGGCCTCAGCTGGCCCCAAACAAAAATGTCTTTAAAACATAATTTTGATACCTTGTGTAAACATCTATAAACAGCTGGGCATCTTCTAAATGAAAGGGAGCTGTAACCGTTGGAAAAGTAACGTCTTGTAGCATATGTATCCAATGTTCTGTATTAGCAGCCAGAACATTGTCATCATAGTCTTTTATCTCGTCTTCCGTTAAATATCCACTGGTTTTTAAACCCGAAAAATCATGAGTTGGTTCTTTTATTTTCTTCAGTTTTACATGCTTCAGTTGATCTACCAAGTTTTCTGCCATATTCAAATGATAATCTACAAAGTTAAATTATACCGATCACATGCAGTCAGTTTTGCTCCATGAACTTCTTGTATAACAAATACGAGGACGAATATTTGAAATTCTGGGAAGTCGAGGGTCTTGCAGTCATTACGCAAGGCCATTAGCGAGACAGGTTTACGACGGCGACGTCAACTGCTTTACCAAGTCGCCGCATGTCATGGCAAACAGATTCATGCCATAAATGTTTCCCATATACTGAAATGCCATAGAATCGACTGCAGAAAAAACATTTTGAGGCCTAAAGTTTAAACCGCATAATTGCCAAAACAAACTGTAATGGGTGAAACAGAGGCCAAATCAGAAAGATCAAAACAGAACTCAAAAGATGCCCAGCAGAACTGGTTGACATTTTTGGTCAATCATTTAGGCGTTGATTACAAACAGTCCGGCATTGCCTTTGGCGGTGACACAATGACATCCATTGATAAGGAGAAAATCAGCTGTTCCAGTGCATACCTCATGATTCGAACATTATTATTATACGTGAGGTAATCAATTCAACTTATGAACTTTCTTTTACAGGTATTGCATATTTTGAAAATTAGAATTAAAAAGATTAATCTTGTGTTGCGGGTCCGTCAGTATACGTTAAATAACCGGATTACGTGAATGATATTTTTAGTAACAAATCGAGAATATATATATTATATATAATACCTGTATTTTCTTTTTCTGTTGGCACTTATTCCTCTCTGGGATTGAAATCGTTGAAAATATGTAAATTAAGATCTTGTTTTTAGTAGCATTAACAGTGTATCCTTATTTTAAAAAATTTCTACTGCTTCAATAGAAATCACTTAGATACGCGATAGTTTTAGTTGCTAGTTAAAACAATATGGCCGATCGGACAGGTCAAAACAACAACACTGACACTTTAAATACTTCCAGTTCGGTTATAAAATTTTGAACAATTGTAAACTGTTTGTTAGAACATTTTTCTATCGTTTTCATGTAATTTTGATACAACTTCCTATATGTGATATTTACAACGCGTTTAAATATAGTAATATTACCATTGGAAGGTCAATATCTTGGCGCATCCGCTGGTCATTTTATCAATAGAGATTTAAATGAGGAGAGTATGGTTGGTGCTTCCATTCGAAGGAACGACAAAAAAAATGATCAGAAAAATACGGTTATGTCTATCCAAAAGCGAATTAATTGCAAAATATATATTATAATAAACGAATGGAGTTAAAAGGGGTAGCCAGAAACTGGAATACAAAGTCACGAACTGACAATGCAGGGTGAAATAGTTTCGATCGATAACTTATAATTTTGTCACTACTTGAATTCCTAGACTAGACACGAGAAACATAAAACAAATAGTGTTTAGAAACACCGTCATTGCGGTCTTTTGCAGTAGTGTCAACATTTAGCGGAACCAATGCTATTGCATGGTCCTGCATGGTCTCACATTGAAGAAGTTTACGTGAAACGTAGATACTCTTTCCGAATGAGCAAATTATAACTGTGGATACAAATCAGTCAGAATTGTTAACATCTATTTTTATTAGCAATAAAAACAGGGCTCACCAGTTACTGTAAAACTAAATTTGGATGTGATTTGAATCAGATGTGGATACTAAACAAATCTAAAGGTCTGTTAATGTAGGCAAAATCTAAATCTTTACTGCTGCAACTGGTATAAAAACATTGACTTTTCTACCTATTACACGTATTCCTCATTCTAAACTTTGACTTTTCTACCTATTACACGTATTCCTCATTCTAAACTTAAAGCCAGATTGAAACAATTAGACCAATTTTGTTTCATAAAAAAGAATGGCCAACGTGGATAAAAATCATGATTCTGTTTTAGGAAGAGTATACTTTGTCAAAAAAAAAAATCATTCTGATACAAATAACAAATCCTTCGAAACGGCCATTATCAAGATGCATAATATTTGTGACGTTAAATGGACGTGTTTTTCAACAGACAATTGACCTTCCTCTGTGAACCAGCAGTCACGGTTTCTCTTCTTGATGACTTGTTCCTTTATTCATACTAAAAAGTAGCTTCTCGGAAAGTATGAAACAAAATTTAGCATTGTCTGTTGACTTCACGTTCCGCCATATAGATGATATCCTTTTACTAAATAATTCAAAGTTTGGTCAATATGTTGAATGCATCTATCTAATCGAACTTGAAATAAATGATCCCACATATACAGTTTAGTCTGTCTCATATCTTGACAATTAGAAATTGACAATAAGGGAAAGCTGACAACGATTTTTTATGACAAAAGAGATAATTTCATCTTTCCTTTTGTAGCAACATTTCAGCAGCGCCTGCATATGTAGTAAATATCTCCAGTTGACACGACATTCCTTTCATGATTTCCTTGATAGAGAGCTAAGTGCTGGTTATAAGGAAGATATTGAACTAAAGGTTTCTAGTGGTAAAGTGGGAGTATCCCATAAGTGTTCAACGGACGCCGTCGTGTTTTGGCTGACCAAGGAAATGATTACAGGTATGTTCCAATTTTTTGCAACCATAATCCCGTCCTCTTTGCTTCAACACCGAATGCCAGTCTTCGTATTTAGACTTGACATGAGCAATACGACGGGTGCCACTTATGAATCTGGAACTGCTTACCTACCAAGGCACATGAGATCACTCTGAAATTGGTTGGGGTTCGTATCGCTAAGTGTTTTGGTTCTTTGTAGTGTTTGGTAGACTGTTATGTCTTTTCATTTTTGCCATGATATTGTCGGTTCTTCTTCGACTTATAATTTTTTATTATCCCCATGTTATCCGCTTCTGCGTTTTTTAGATACATTCCTGAGTTGATTTCCTAGTTGATACCAGAAACCCATATATAAAAGGAGGGTAGTCATCACACATATGTATTCCTTATTTGGAAAAAAATGTATACGTAGATGAACTATTAATTGGATAATTTCAAAAGATGACATGTACTTTACATCTGGATTGTGTGATTATTGAGTTCTTTATTTGAATAAAAAGAGCAAAAGATCTGAGATCGTCTGAGAACACTTGAACTATTCTACTAACAAAAAATATAGCCAAACAATGATTTGTGAATAGAGGTAAAACTGTATGTTAGTGTGGACAGACCGTACTACGTATGTTATTTGTTTTAAATATTCTTTTTATCATCATATCCAACAGTTTTATTTGAAAGAAAAATAAATGTGCAGAGCTAATATCATTGAATTCTAGAAAAATATATGAACACATTTCGATTTTCATTATAAACAACTTCAATATATTTGATGTGGAGTTCAGGACCTGGATCGAGTTATTACCCATGATTTGCATATATCTTATTGACTGGCTCCCCCTTACTTCTTGAACAAATCATTCAGGTTTGTTATATGTATTAATAATCATAGTATTGTCTTTATCTTTTATTTGATTGATATGCTTGTAATGAGCCCTCAGTATGATTACGAAAATAAAAATATTAATACAGGTATTAGTACATTAATTTGTTTGGCCAGTGTTTGTATTTCATTTAATTTTTGGCCATTCATGTAGTCTCTATTCTATATTTCTTTGACAATTTCAGCGGATATCAATGACTCTGGATTCCGGGTTCCATCCTAATCTTATCGTTGGGCTATAGGCCCTCAGATATGATAGGCTCCGACCCCATTGAGTAATTTTAGACTAATAGGACTCCAGACTCTTATTTTATTTTTATACTCAAGATAACTGAATTGGCACCTGACTTATAATGAGCCGTGGAGCCAGTAACGGTTAGTGGACGGCCATTTGATATTCTGGATGTGGATGGGGCCAGGAGGTTTTTTTTTCGGATTATCTGTTAATTTTCATCTGTTGCTACCCCTGCTTATTTTTTTTAGGCCACGTGAAAAAAAAATATATTTGCACTTTTGTACACGATTGATTCCTGCATTTCGTGTTGCAGAATAAGTTCATTTTCATCCTGTCTTATGCAATGTTATTCATTTCAAACTCTTACCAGCCCATGATATTCATTTTCAAAATCCTCCTCCCCACAGAAAATTAAAAGGTCGTCCCCTTATTACCTTCCCATATTATTCAATGATTCTCTGAAACCAAGATCTCAGTCTGTACTGTAAAACTTTCCGACACTGCATGATGAATTTACCAGATTGTATACATAAAATTATGATTGTTATCTGAATTTCCCCCCTGTGTCTGTGGGTCCATGAGGGTTTTAATGAAAATATTTCATTTTATTTATTGACGACTGTTCCGACGAAGTGTATTTTGGGGCGAATTTTATAGGGCGAGAAAACGTAGTTTTTGTACAGGGGAAGTAACTCTATTTTAACGGATAACAGCGTGGAAATGGCGAATTACCAGCCTTACGATAAAAGACATAGAGATCTCCAAGAAGATGTTCGCCCAGCCAACAGTCGGCTCTTTATTTTGTGTAGTAAACAAGCAACAGAAGATATGTTCCAGAAAGAATTCGAGCGATTTGGAGGAATTGAAGATATCTGGGTTGTGAAAGATAAACGTTCAAACGAAAACAAAGGTTATTTTTATCATTTTTTTTTTATATTTTTGACGATAACTATTTTATGTTATCTAAACCATTTTTCATTTTATGTTTCTGAAAATTTAAAACTTTTCTGGATTTTTATTTCCATTTATTCGTTCCTACTGCAGGTGCCAAAACTAAGATAGGAAAGATGTCTAGAAATAAATTTCATGCAGCAATAATTTACCACCTATTATCATGATTATCATGAAAACAAAACATGTGGCATTCATCAACTAACACACAACACAGTTCATAATTGGAGTGACAAATTTATTTGAAATTTTTGTGTTTTCTAAGTGGTATGGCTGATAAGCTGATGATCAATCCATCATCATTTTGATGCGATTTCTTGTTGATAAATGTAGGACTGTATTAATGAGGAATGATATTTTTTTTTGTAAATTTTTTGAAGAACTTCATGGCAGGTTTGTTTGTTATTCTGTATAAATTCATTTTCAGCATGCTATATACAGTCAGGGGTGCTACTTAAACAAGTGATTTCGTCATCACTTATTTCAGTGATTTGATAAATTCGGTTATCACCTATTTAAGTGATTTTAGTGTTTTCTTTGATCTTCAAATGCTAATTTCATTAATTTTCCATATTTTCACAATCTTTTCTATAATTTTCCTACATAAATCAATTATCCCTTTTTCTTTGTATATTAATTTCACCAGTGCGCTTGGGCAGTAAGTTAGTGCGCTAAAGCTTTTAAAAGTACCCTTGGGAATTTTTCTGTAATCAAAAATTCATTAACTACTCTTACTATCAGACAAAGATCAACAATATTAGGTAATCTGATTGGTTTTCTGTAGAGTTAGAATGATCTACTTCAAGGTTATGACCTGATCTACAAACTATTCCAGTTTTTGCATATTTTAAAAAAACTGTAAAAGTGTCAGGCTTATCAAGCAAAAGACAATTTCTGCATATACATAGATGTGTTTTCAATGGAATTGTTGTCTTTTTACCAATAAAAAAATCAAGCTTGTGGGAAAAATATCAAGAAAATGTTATAAACACTTATTAAAGTGATTACATTTTAACTTCTAAAATTACTTGTTTCAGTGATTTTAAAAAGTCTGTGTGAAAATTTTTAATATTTCACAGCCAAAATCACTCGAGGGAGTGATTCTGAAATCACTTGTTTAAGTAGTACCCCTGACTGATATATATATATATATATATATGTTTTTAATGAAGGGAACCCCTTTAAAAATTTAGCTCATATTGTCCATTTATAAATAAATTAATAAAATTCTTGGTGTATTTGGATATGTTGAATCTGTCCAAATCTTTGTTTAATTTCAACAAAAATTGAATATATGATGTTCTTTGATAATATGCTGAATCTTACCTTGTATTTAGCATTTTTGATTTTTGATTTTGGGGCCTGTTTTAAAATTGGTCCACCATGAGGTCCAAAGACACCAAAAATGCTCCAACAAATCAGTTTACCAATTGTTTATATTTCTCACCATTTTTGTTTTCTAATAACTGAATTTGGAGACCGCCAGAGGAAACCCTGCATCTTGGGACAAAATGCTATGTTTTAACATCATTATGTGGGTCATGACAGCAAGTATCTTGAAACACAGAATTAAAGTTAGAATCTCCGTTCTTTTTTTCCTGATGTTAGGTATAATACCTATAAATATGAAACCTGGAGAATACCAATTTTTGAGAATCATCTCCAACCTATTTAATGGCAAGGGATTCAAAAAGTTTTTGGGAAATCTATAATGGTAGGTCAATGATATTTGGTATGCGGTTGTAGTAGCATTGGCACATCTCATTTCCATGGAGATTATTTGGCCCCGCCCCCTCAGTCATGGTCTGTTGACTTTGAAACTTTTGCTTAGTTTACATGCATTAGGTTTTAATTACTATTAGGTCATTTTATGGGGAACCACTAGTGGTAGGTCAATGTTATTATACGATCGCAAAAAAAAATTTGGGATCGTATAATGGTATGATGTCGTCGTCGTCCGAAGACACATTGGTTTCCGGACAATAACTTTAGTTTAAGCTGAAGGATCTCTATGAAATTTTTTATGAAGGTTCAATACTATATAAGGAAAATTTGGATTGATTTTGGGGATGATGGTCCCAACCGTTTAGGAATTAGGGCCAAAAACAAACATTTTTCTAGTTTCAGGATAATAACTTGTGTATAAATATTTCGATTGCTCTGAAATTGTACATCAATGTTTAATACCACAAGTAGAAGGTTGGGATTCATATTAGGGGTTATGGTGCAAACAGTTTAGGAATTAAGGGCCTAAAAGGGGCCAAAAACAACAATTTTTGTAGTTTCCGGACAATAACTTGTGTGTAAGTGTATGGATCTCTCTGATATTGTACCATAAGGTTCCATATCACAAAGGGAAGGCTGAGATTGAGTTTAGGGGTAATTGCCTCAAACATGTACATGTAGGAATTAGGGGCCAAAAAAGGGCCAAAAACATGCATTATTTTAGTTTCCAAACAATAACTTGTGTTAGATGTGTATGGATCTCTCTGAAATTGTACTACAAGGTTCCATACTACAAAGGAAAGAATTGGATCGAGTCTTGGGGTAATTGCTCCAAGGGGGGATTCCAAAAGTTGCGGGGGGGGGGGTTCCAATTTTTTTAAGGAATTCATATTTTTTTCAAAAATTTTCAAATTTCAAATTTTGTAAAAGTTTCAAGAAGTAATCTTCAATTGCACAGTATTGCGCAATAGATTTGTAAGATCTTTTACCACATTTATTTTGTGTCAGAAACCAATATTATGTCAAAAATTTGATCACAATCAAAATTCAGACAGTATCAAGCTTGAATATTATATCCAAATTTGCCCCAACTGTTCAGGGTTTGACCTCTGCGGTCGTATCAGGCTGCGCTCAGTGAAGCATTTTATTTGTTATGCCGTTGTATTAGCATTGGCACATCACATTTCCATGGAGATTATTAGGCACTGCCCCCTCAGTCATGGTCTATTGACTCTGAAACTTTTGCTTAGTTTACATGTATTAGTTTGTGATTAGGTTTAGGATTTGTGATGGGGAACTACTAGTGGTAGGTCAATGATATTTGGTATGTAGTTGTATTAGCATTGGCACATCTCATTTCCATGGAGATTGTTTGGCCCTGTACCTTCAGTCATGGTTCATTGACTTTGAATATTTTGCGTGACCTACATGTTAAAGTTTTGCTATTTTAATATCAGCATTTGCATTTTACGATCAAAATAACAAAAAAGGTGAAACATATCTCTGTGTTAACAGGTTATATTAATTTGGTGTGCCTATAGTAACTACATTAATTATTGATATTATTTATTGTACTATTTATTGAACTTATGTCCAAACAGTAATCATTTTTACATTTCTGTTTGGTGAGTGTCTCAGACCAATTACAGCTTTTAGTTGATGAGTCTGCAATGCAGCAATACATCTGTAATTTCCTTTTTCAGGAGTAACTTACATTAAATATGGAAAAACATCAGAAGCAGCATTAGCCATGGAAGAGATGAATGGTAAATCTCTGGATGGAGACCCTAAACCGTTAAAGGTGAGAACTATTGGGAGAACCGTATCTACGGTAGTTAATTATCTTCAAATTTAGCCTCAGCTTCAGGCATGTAAATTAGGGAATGTGAAGCATCAATTTATAAACACCTGTCAGATCTGTGTAAAAAAATTGTGGTGTTGAACTCCATATAATTGTTTATTTTACCGATGCTGACAAGGCTCCCCACACCACACCAGTGAGGGAGATAATGACCCTAGGATTCCTGACTACACACTAAAGAAACATCAATGAGAAGTTTGGGTCAACCTCAATTTCCAGTAAAACTCCCAAATGTTGCCTTATGAAAAATTCTTGATTAAAACCACACATGATTCCAATTTTCGAGGAAATGAACATGTTAATGATTAAATGATCCTTAATAATGCATTTTTTTTGGATATTAGTTGGGTGTCTTGCCAATCAGGTAAATTTCAGGGGACATTCACCTGACACACATGCATGGCCAACTGTATCCAAGTTGAAAATTCAGGTTTATATAATTGCAATTTATTCTATAAATAAACATGCATGACTGTTCCTTCAAACTGGATATTAATTTCCAAATTTATTTTATAATAAAAGAAGGATTTACAGCTTCCTGTTATTATTTGTGGGAAAATATGGGGAATTCCCTGTTGACATTGAATTTGGTTATAATTCTAAAAACCCTACATTACAAACACCTGAAAGTCAACATGTATCTATTTATTATGACCTTGGCAAAGAAAGAGAGGGAAACTGCATTCAGAAAAACATGGATGCTTTATCCCAGATCTGGAACATTAATTTGACAATGCACAAAAAGAAACTTAACTTCTTAAATGAAATATATATCTATAGAAAATCCATGGATGATATTTTTCAAAACCTTGAAAACAATACTGTGGATTCATTTTTAGCTCACCGGGCCCCATGAGAGCTTATGCCATCACTTGGCGTTCGTCGTCGTCTGTCGGCGTAAACTATTTCAAAAATCTTCTCCTCTGAACCTACTGGGCCAAATACCTTCAAACTTTAACTAAATGTTCCTTAGGGTATTTAGTTTATAAATTGTATCCGAAGTTTTGATCCATCGACAAACATGGCCGCCATGGCTAAAAATAGAACATAGGGGTCAAATGCAGTTTTTGGCTTATATCTCAAAAACTAAAGCTTTTAGAGCAAATCTGACGTTGGGTAAAATTGTTCAATTGGTCAAGATCTATCAGCTCTGAAATTTTCAGACTAATCGAACAACCCATTGTTGGGTTGCTGCCACCGAATTGGTAGTTTGAACAAAATTTTGCAGTTTTTAGCTCACCTGGCCCAAAGGGCCAAGTGAGCTTTTCTCATCACTTGGCGTCCGGCGTCGTCGACGTCCATCGTCGTTAACTTTTACAAAAATCTTCTCCTCTGAAACTACTGGGCCAAATTTGACCAAACTTGGCCACAATCATCATTGGGGTATCTTGTTTAAAAAATGTGTCCGGTGACCCGGCCAACCAACCAAGATGGCCGCCATGGCTAAAAATAGAACATAGGGGTAAAATGTAGATTTTGGCTTATATCTCTGAAACCAAAGCATTTAGAACAAATCTGACTGGGTAAAATTGTTTATCAGGTCAAGATCTATCTGCCCTGAAATTTTCAGATGAATTGGACAACCTGTTGTTGGGTTGCTGCCCCTGAATTGGTAATTTTAAGGAAATTTTGCCGTTTTTGGTTATTATCTTGAATATTATTATAGATAGAGATAAACTGTAAACAGCAATAATGTTCAGCAAAGTAAGATCTACAAATAAGTCAACTTGACCAAAATGGTTAGTTGACCCCTTAAGGAGTTATTGCCCTTTATAGTCAATTTTTAACCATTTTTCTCTGAAACTACTAAGACAAATTTAACCAAACTTGTCCACAATCATCATTAGGGTATCTAGTTTAAAAAATGTGTCCGATGACCCCGCCCGCGAACCAAGATGGCCGACATGGCTAAAAAATAATACATGGGTAAAATGCAGTTTTTGGCTCATATCTCTGAAACCAAAGCATTTAGAGCAAATCTGATGAGTATAAAATTGTTCATTAGGTCAAGATCTATCTGCCCTGAAATTTTCAGACCAATCAGGCAACACGTTGTTGGGTTGCTGCCCCTGAATTGGTAATTTTAAGGAAATTTTGCCGTTTTTGGTTATTATCTTGAATATTATTATACGACCGCAAAAAAATTTTGTGGTCGTATATTGGTACGACGTCGTCGTCGTCGTCCGGCGTCGTCGTCCGAAGACACATTGGTTTTCGCACTCTAACTTTAGTTTAAGTAAATGGATCTTTTTGAAATTTGACCATAAGGTTAAATACCACAAAAGGAAGGTTGGGATTGATATTGGGGGTTATGGTACCAACAGTTAAGGAAAAAGGGGCCAAAAATAAGCATTTTCTAGTTTCCAGACAATAACTGTGGAACGGTGTATGGATCTCTCTGAAATTATACTACAAGTTTCCATACCACAAAGGGATGGTTAGGATTTGCTTTTGGGGGTTATGGCTCAAACCGTTTAGGAATTAGGGGCAAAAAAGGGGGAAAAACAAGGTTGTCCTGGTTAATGGACAAATACTTTAGTACAAAACATAATTTAAAGCAGTGTAAGGGAGATAAATCAAATACATCATTGAAATTATCTCCCTTACACTGCTTTTAAATTATGTATAAAGTAATGGTTAATGAACAATTAAGATAATTTAAAACACTGTAAGGGAGGTAATCCAAATACAACGTTTTGGTTACTTCCCTTACACTGCTTTTAAATTATGTTTAAAGAAATGCATATTTATAAAGGAAGACAAGTAAAAATATCTGCAAATGTTGCATCTTTTTTTTTTACAAAAAAATCCATATGAAAGATTTGACACTATATTTTTAATTCTATTATAAAATAGATTAAGTTAGCACTATGGTAAATTTAAATGGGTAATTATGGTTGCCAACTCCATTGGAAATTTGAATTGAGATTATGACCATATCTTGAGGGAAAGAATTTTTTTGGGGAAAAAGGGGGGGGGGGGATAAAAAGAAATTGTGGGGGGTCAATTTTTCTCATTTCAGATTTCAGAAATTAAAAAAATTATTCTTCAAATATTATTTTTTTTTCAAATTTCAAATATTGAAAAATTTCAAGAAGAAATCGTTAATTGCACAGTATGGCGCATTAGATTTGTAAAATCTTTGATCACATTTATTTATTTGTTATGCCGAATCCAACAGTGTATTTAGATTTTTAATTTTGGGTCCAGTTTTCAAATTGGTCTACATTAAGGTCCAAAGGGTCCAAAATTAAACTTTGTTTGATTTTAGCAAAAATTGAATATATGAGGTTCTTTGATATGCTGAATCTAAACATGTATTTAGATTTTTATACGACCGCAAAAAAATTTTGTGGTCGTATATTGGTATGACGTTGGCGTCGTCGTCGTCCGAATACACATTGGTTTTCGCACTCTAACTTTAGTTTAAGTGAATGGATCTTTTTGAAATTTGACCATAAGGTTAAATACCACAAAAGGAAGGTTGGGATTGATTTTGGGGGTTATGGTACCAACAGTTAAGGAATTAGGGGTCAAAAAGGGGCCAAAAATGAGCATTTTCTAGTTTCCAGACAATAACTGTGGAACGGTGTATGGACCTCTCTGAAATTATACAACAAGTTTCCATACCACAAAGGGATGGTTAGGATTTGCTTTGGGGGGTTGTGGCTCAAACTGTTTAGGAATTAGGGGCAAAAAAGGGGGGAAAACAAGGTTGTCCTGGTTAATGGACAAATACTTTAGTACAAAACATAATTTAAAGCAGTGTAAGGGAGATAAATCAAATACATCATTGAAATTATCTCCCTTACACTGCTTTTAAATTATGTATAAAGTAATGGTTAATGAACAATAAAGATAATCTAAAACAGTGTAAGGGAGGTAATCCAAATACAACGTTTTGGTTACTTCCCTTACACTGCTTTTAAATTATGTTTAAAGAAATGCATATTTATAAAGGAAGACCAGTAAAAATATCTGCAAATGTTGCATCTTTTTTTTTTACCAAAAAATCCATATGAAAGATTTGACACTATATTTTTATTAATTCTATTATAAAATAGATTAAGTTAGCACTATGGTAAATTTAAATGGGTAATTATGGTTGCCAACTCCATTGGAAATTTGAATTGAGATTATGACCATATCTTGCGGGAAAGATTTTTTTGGGGGGAAAAAGGGGGGGGGGGGGGGATAAAAAGAAATTGTGGGGGGCCAATTTTTTCTCATTTCAGATTTCAGAAATTAAAAAGAATTATTCTTCAAATATTATTTTTTTTTCAAATTTCAAATATTGAAAAATTTCAAGAAGTAATCTTTAATTGCACAGTATGGCGCATTAGATTTGTAAAATCTTTGATCACATTTATTTATTTGTTATGCCGAATCTAACAGTGTATTTAGATTTTTAATTATGGGTCCAGTTTTCAAATTGGTCTACATTAAGGTCCAAAGGGTCCAAAATTAAACTTTGTTTGATTTTAGCAAAAATTGAATATATGAGGTTCTTTGATATGCTGAATCTAAACATGTATTTAGATTATTGATTTTTGGCCCAGTTTTCAAATTGGTCTACATTAAGGTCAAAAGGGTCCAAAATTAAACTTTGTTTGATTTTAGCAAAAATTGAATATATGAGGTTCTTTGATATGCTGAATCTAACCATGTATTTAGATTTTTTATTTGTGGACCCCGCTATCAAATTGATTCTTATTGAGGTCAAAAGGGTCCAAAATTAAACTTTGTTTGATTTCATCTAAAATTGAATTATTGGGGTTCTTTGATATTCCAAATCTAACTGTGTATTTAGATTTTTAATTTTGGGTCCTGTTTTTTAAATTGGTCTACATAGAGGTCCAAAGGGTCCAAAATTAAACTTAGTTTGATTTTAACAAAAATTGAATTCTTGGGGTTCTTTGATATGCTGAATCTAAACATGT